TTCAGTCCTTTATAATCCCAGTTCATGTGGCATCTGAGTGAGGCCTTTATAATGTGTGTGGTTCTACCAGCCTCAGCTTTTGGGCAAAAAAAGGGCTGTTTTCTGCTGTTTTCTGCCCTCTTACACAGCAAGTGAAAGCCACCTTTCCTGAATTCACATGAAGCCTGTGAATTTGGGAAAGTTGAAGCCAGCAGGGTGGGAGCTGTAGTTCCTGGTTTCTCTGTCCATATTACCTGTCCTCTCCTCCTGCAGTGGTTAGGAACTGTCACAGGTTGATAGCAGACCTCTCCCCAGCCAGTTGGATGCTTAAATTCAATTCATATTTCAGTATTTGTAGGATTACATTGTCAGAATCAGCAAGCTTGCTGCTGAACAAAAAAGGGACTTGTATCATGATAACATTTGGGTATTTTTAATTAAGATTAAATATTTTCCTGCTGTGTTTGTATGCATTGCAGTTTTCTTTTTTGAACAGAGCAGGCACATGGCTTAGAATTCTTTTGCCCACATAGCTTTGCAAAAAGTCACTGAAAATGGCAAAAGGGACAGTGAGGATACTGAGAGTGTTGGTACTGACTTCAGGTCAGGGCAGGTTCCTGTTCTGTCTGGGTTAGAATACTCTAGGAGGAAAAACTAAACCATGCATCTGGGATGTGGGAGAGGTGCTGAATTAATTAATCCAGTCCTTCCATTCTTGCAAAAATTTCAGCCACACAGCTGTAAACTTTCAGAAGCCAAATACCGTAATTCCACCAAACATTTCCCAAAACTCCACTTGCTGAACTCTGAGTTATTGTTGCCCATGAGTGTCACTGGGGAAAGTCCTGCCCACCAGGCACTTGTGTGGTGCAGCATCACCCCACAGTTACTGCACAGTGTTGTGGTTTTGTAAGGCAAAAAATCTTATTTCAAAATCATCATTTACTGAGAGCTGGAATAGTTGGGGTTTTTTTCTTGCTCTGCCCTGTTTATAACCTCTGTTTCTAGCCCAGGGAATTGCTCTGTGAGAACAGTCCTACCTAGAAACACTGGGCTCTTGTTGATGCTGGCTCACATGCAGGGACAGTCGATCCTTTCTCCCTGCAGAGCTGCAGCACCATCAGTGCTGGGGACAAAGCTGAGAAACTGCACTTCTGTGTGCTGAAAACGTGGTGGCACAACCTGGGCAAGACCCCACGGCAGCCCTTGAAAAGCTGGTCAGAGCTGAATAATTACAAATGCTGCTCTTTGTTTTTTCTGCTCAGCACACTTGTTTTTTGAGGATTTGCAGGGCTTTTTTGTGTTTTTTTAAACATTTTTTCCCTTTTGTAGAAAACCCTTGTGTATATTTGTCCACTGAAGCATGGGATAGTAGCACATAATACATGTAAAAGTTGCTGATGCTGAGGGTAAGGGAAGGGGGTTTCTTTTGAAGCTGCTCATTAAGAATTTCAAATGTTCAGGTGAAAATACTGTAGCCAAATGAAAGATGGACCACTGTGTGTCACATGCCTGTGTAGATAGAGAACTCTCTGCTGAATCCATAGGACTCTTTCATAGGCAGCAGAGCAGAGGGGGAAAGTGCTAGCTGGGAAAAAACTTCAACAACAGTAATACACTCTCTCTTCTAAAAGCACTGAACCATGGGACCTGGAGAGTTCAAAAGCACCAGTGGAAATTGCACAACTTTCTAGATGTGGACTGGGACGTCATGCTGCTGTTGATTCTAGGAGAAAACAAACCCAAGCAATTCTTCCAGGGCATTTTGGCTTTGTTCCTCCATTTTATATTTAGTTGTTGGTAAGTACGTCAGCAAAAACACACTCATTCAACTCTGAAAGATCAGAGGTGACAGTGACATCAAGGAAGCAGAAATGGGTGGGTGGGTGTTGAACCAAGGCCATACAAAGATCAATTATTCTGCTTCCAGCTCTTTTAAAGCTTTATTTCACAAGGAGTTAACTCCTTCACAGCATGTTTGAGCTCTCTGGTGTTTAACTTGATGTTGGCTTCTCTGCAGGGGAGAAGCCCTGGTCACTCACATTGTGAGTGGTCACCTGGTCACCTCACAGTCCAGGAGGGGAAGGGTTGGGAGACAATACCCTGGCATAGCTCTGCAGGGCAGGAGCTAATGCTCTCCAGAGAAATGCTAGCAGTTGGATTTATTTAGATTTATTTCCATAAATGTAGCACTAAGCATGGGTGCCATTCCCTGGGTGAGGAATGGCACGTAGTGCAGCGATGCAAACTTCCCTGGGACATTTCTTTCTAAAAACAGCCTTTTTAGGGACAATAGAGTCAGAACCACCCCCTCTCCTGGGAGATGAAACCTGGCAAGGGATTTGAACACTTTCACAAAACATGTTAAATAGTGTATTTCTAAGAAAGGGCTGAAGCATGTCAAACACGGGTAGGACAGAAGGTAACTGAGTTCCCAAATGTGCACAATTTTTGTTCATGTTTCTAGCTAATGCCCAATATACAACTGTTGGGGAGGAGCAGAATAAGGCACTCTTTGAGTTTTGCATGTCACCAATTCCCAGCATGGATGTAAATGGCTTTTAACTACAATATTTGCTATCTCCTGAATTTGTAGTGCTGGGCAGCAAAGCCCTTAAACTCACTCAACATCAGTTTAGCGGGTTTTTCCTTCCCTTTAACAGAAAACAATTGGAAGGAAGCATCTTTCATAACACAAGGTTTCCTTGGAGCCTTTTTTATTGATACAAAAGAAATTTTATTTCTCTGTGAATTGAAATAAATACCTCCTATTTCAAAGCAGGCCTTGGGGAGGAAGATGAGAAAGTCGCTTGGGTGACATTGCCACAGCAGAGCAGGAATAGGCTGCTCAGGGAGGGGACAGCCCTCAGGAATAGGCTGCTCAGGGAGGGGACAGCAGCAGGAATAGGCAGCTCAGGGAGGGGACAGCCAGCAGGAATAGGCTGCTCAGGGAGGGGACAGCCAGCAGGAATAGGCTGCTCAGGGAGAGGACAGCCCGCTGCAGTGGGACCATGGGCTGCTCAGGAGGGGACAGCCCGCTGTGTCCCCGGGCTGGGAGGATGGGAGCAGTGCCAGAGGTGGCTGCTGGCAGGGACAGCTGTGTGGCCAGGGCTGTGGCAGTTCCCGGGACACGGCGGGGAGGTGGCGGTGCGCGCTGCCAGAGCCCCATCTGCAGGCGGGCGCAGTGTGGGGTGAGGAGCGGCGCTGACATTATTCGGAGAATTCAATGAACCGCCTCAAAAAGCCTCAAAAAGCCTCAAAAAGCATGCCAACCCCCCGTTTTGCAGCCATCCTGCCCGCTGGCAAAGGTCAGGTGTCCGTGAGGCGCCCGCAGAGCTCTGACGATGCTGATTTCAGTGCCCAGCCAACTCGGGACCTCCTGAGGGTCTGGCTCTCCCCACTCTGGCGAGTCACTTTGATTTCCCCTTGCTTTTGGTAGCAAGATAAAATAGATAAATGATACATAGGTGTCTCAAGATAAAATAGGCAAGTTAAAAAAGGGAAGAGGTAGTGTGTGCTGTAGCAGGTTAAGAGCACAGCTTGTGCTGCCTGTTTTGAAGCTTCTTGGCTGCTCTTAGAAGGGGTAAGGAGCTGGGATAGGAAAGCTTTTTCCCTCATGGGATATCCATGCAAGTCTTTCTCCTATCCCATCACTGTTTTCCATATTGACTGGTGCCTTCTTCCCTCTCTCACGTTTACTGAAATGAGCCAAAATCAGGGCACAGAAAGAGGAGGAAGGGATGTGGCGGACAGACAATTGCATAAGCTTCACTTCCTAAGGAAATGAGGCAAAAAGAGATTCAGACACTCTGGTTGCAGTGATAGAGAAATTTGTATTCCTGTTTCCCTTGGCAGCAGCACTGCACTATGACAGGCCATCTTTTATCACTTCTCTAAGCAAAGTGCAGCTTGGGACCCTGTGATAAATCTTCCCTTTGCTCCATCCCACTCCTGAAATATCTCAGAAGTGTCAGTTCGGAAAAGGACGTGCTGCATTTCTTCCCCTTATTAGCTGGAATAACAGGCCTGTGATAATCTGGGCCGCTTGGAAGTGTCAGCCTTTCCATGTTCCATGTGGGCCCTCCTACAACAATCTCACAACGTGCCAGGGAACCCACATCTCCACTGGGTCCTCCCCAGTCCTACAGAGCACTGCAGCAAAAACCTGTTCCAGGTGCGTTTGGCTTTTCGGGAGGAACATGCTGTGGCCTGGCAAGGGCTCCTGTTGAGCTCGGCTTTCCCATGAAGTGCAGATAAAACTTGCTGCAGGAAACATGAGCACAAGGATTGCCTGGAGGAAAACCTGAGGGGAAGGGAAGGCAGAGGTGCCCATGCTTGACACCGGCACAGAGAGGAGGTGTGTGGGAAGGGGGACCGATGTGGCATCGCTCTGGGAAGGGAACCGTGAGCTGTGTGCTGTGGACTATTCTTTGTCCTCGCCTCACTGGGACTGCAGTGCTGTCAGCGCCTGTTTCCCCATGGATAAGGAAAAGTGGGCTGCTTTACTTACACAGCCACCACCTACCGCCGAAATGTCAGTTTGCCTTTCTCCTTGCTTTTCCGCCATTGAACAATATGACAATTTTGGGGTGTGTATGAACCCGTGTGGAGGAGCTGGTGCTGAGCGGGGCAATACCCCCACCCCGCTCACTGCCAGCACTGGAGCACGGCGGGCTCTCCAGGCTGGGAACCCCGGACCAGAGCTGGCTCTACACGCCATCCCTTTCCCCCTCAGAGGGAGCTCCGGGAAGGGCTGGGTTTGCTATGGGGACGGCGCTTCCCTCAGCCCGCCCTGCCGCCCTCACGGCGCCCGCTGCCTCCGCCCTCCCCGCCGTGTCCCCGCGCGGCCGCCGTACCGCGCGCGTGTGCGGCCCGCGTAAGTGGCGGCGGCGGCGGAGCGGGACTGAGGGCGACGGGCACGGGCTGAGGGCGGCGGCGGCGGAGCGGGGCTGAGGGCGGCGGGCGGCGGAGCGGGGCGGGGCTGAGGGCGGCGGAGCGGGGCTGAGGGCGGCGGACACGGGCTGAGGGCGGCGGGCGCGGCCCTTCCGGCCCGGCGGCGATGCTGCGGTGGGGGTTCCGCGTCCTGAGCTGCGGCTCCTCCGCCCCGTGGAGGCGGCAGCGCAGCGTGGGTACTGCCGGGCCCTGCTCTGGGAACGGGTCAGTCTGGGCGGCGCCATCGCCGCTCGCCCTGCCGGTGTCCGGGCAGCGCAGGCCCTGCCTGCCTCCTCCGGGGAATGGTGACACGGCCCGGGCTGGAACAGGGGTGCTCGCCCTTCCTGCCTCCGGCTTGTTCATTTGCTGCGGCCCCGCGGGGTGGAGCTGTCGCTTTCTGCCCGGGTTTCGTGCCGTTCACGCTCGTCCCATCTGCGCTTGTTTCCCCTGCAGGTTCTTGCAATGGCTGAGGATTTGATAGCAGCGGTTGCCAGCCAGACAAAGAGACTCAACAGCAGCAGCGAGGTGGTTCAAAGGCTGGAAGAAAACGGGCATCAGAATAAAAAGTTGAAGAGTGATGCAGATGAGGAAGATGCAGAGGATCAGAATAAGAAGTTGCCCAAAAGGAAGATTGTGCTGTTGATGGCATATTCAGGGAAAGGCTACCATGGCATGCAAGTATGTGGTTTGGCAAAGCAGCATCTCCAGCTTATTTTTTGTTTTGGAGTCTGTTAGGTTTAGTCAGAGTGCCTGGGTAGGGAAACTGAGTATTTGTAGTGTGAAAAACCAGGGCAGGAACAGTGTGTGAATGGGTTCAAATGGATCGGTAGTAACTTCATTTTAAGAGGCCAGTGGTGCATGTCTGATGATTCTAGGGACAGTGCTTTGTCATAGCACCAGACCTGCCTGTGCAGGGTGGTCTGAGGCACAGAGCTGGCAGCGTGAGGATGATCCTGCTCCATCTGCTGCTCCTCTCCACGTACTGCAAGCTCCATACACTTAAAGAATACTTCAGAAGCTTTTTCACCAGCAGCAAACCTCATGCTTACAAGCACATCAGCTGAACTGAGCAAAAGAATCCAATCTAATTTCTGGAAGAAAAATTTGCAGAGGCTGGGTTGGTGCAGCAGCTGTTGACTTGCAGGCATTGGGACAATATTGGTGCTGTTTCATGCAGTTGAAGGAATCATCAAAAACCTCCAGAAGTGTTGCACAGTGAAATTAGAAATGAGTCTTAGTTGCTGTAACAGTAACAGCTAAATCAGAATGATGTTTTATTAACACTGCTAATATATAGTTAGGTTTGTTAGAGAATGGCTGCAGAGGGAAGACTTTTAAAGAATTTCACAACAATGTGTGATTAAAAAAATTTCCATCTTCATTTATCCACTTAATATTCTATTTCTTATTTTTACTCATGTGGCCTATTAGAGAAACGTGGGATCTTCACAGTTCAAGACAATTGAAGATGACCTGGTCTCTGCCCTTGTTCAGTCAGGATGCATCCCAGAGAACCATGGGGAAGATATGAAGAAGATGTCTTTCCAGCGCTGTGCTCGAACAGATAAGGTAGGTTGGGCTGTGCTCCCCTGAATTCTGGGGTTTACACACCTCTGTTGCTAAAGTATTGTCCAGAGAGAGATCCATCAGCACGTGAATGGTCCTTGAAACCTCTCCTTTTGTCCACTATTAAAGTACAAGTAAATAGACTTGTTACTCAGTTATTTCAGTTCTGCAAGTGTTAACCTAGAGCTTCCAAAGTACATAATTATGTGAAGTTTTGTTTTTTTTTGGTTTTTACAGGGTGTGTCTGCAGCTGGACAGATTGTGTCACTGAAGGTCAGGCTAATAGATGACATCTTAGAAAAGATCAATAATCATCTTCCTTCTCACATCAGAATTCTGGGTAAGAACACTGAAATAGGCAGAAAAAATGTTTTCAAGAGAACCTTTCTCTTGCAGAAGGTCTCTGTAATTTTACTTAAATAGGGTTGAGTTTTAACGGGCTTGAAATTTGGGTTCTTTTGAACAAGTCTTTTTTTTTTTTGTTTATATTTTGTTTGAAAAGCATCTTTGTTGGTAGGAGTGAGATCACAATCAATCTGTAACCTCCTGATTCAAAAAACCTAATGTCACTTTTAAATCCAGGCCTGAAGAGAGTCACTGGGGGGTTCAACTCCAAGAACAAATGTGATGCCAGAACCTACTCCTACATGCTGCCAACGTTTGCCTTTGCCCATAAGGACCATGATGTGCAGGAGGAGCTTTTTCGGCTCGACAGAGACACCCTTGAAAGGGTCAATCGACTGCTGGCCTGCTACAAAGGGACACACAACTTCCACAACTTCACATCACAGAAGGGCCCCAGGGACCCCAGTGCCAAGAGGTACATCATGGAGATGTACTGTGGAGAGCCCTTCGTCAGGGAAAACGTGGAATTTGCAGTGATCCAAGTGAGAGGTCAGAGTTTCATGATGCACCAGATCAGGAAGATGATTGGGCTGGTGATAGCAATTGTGAAAGGTTATGCTGCTGAGTCCATCATGGAACGTAGCTGGGGAGAGGAGAAGGTTGATGTCCCCAAAGCCCCAGGACTTGGGCTGGTTTTGGAGAAAGTACACTTTGAAAAATACAACAGGCGTTTTGGGAATGATGGGCTGCATGAGCCACTGGAGTGGACAGAGGAGGAGGAGAAGATTGCTCTTTTCAAAGAGCAGTACATCTATCCTACCATTATCAACACAGAAAGGGAGGAGAAATCAATGGCAAACTGGCTAAAAACCCTCCCCATTCATGACTTCAACTCCTCTGCTGTTGAGATGCAAACTAACAACAGAAATTCAAAGGTAATGACTGAAGCCATTATTTTACAAATGGAAGCTGTCAAGTTGAAACGTCTCTTCCCTTTGTAACATTTTTATTTTCTGTGAAATGCTGTGGAAATGACAGTCATCTGGAGTATGAAATGTGTATAATCTTTGCTGTCTTTATGTACTTGATGATAGTGGAATGAACTGTGCAAAGCATTGTTTTTGCAGGGTTTTACAGGGAGTAATTGAGGGAGGAAGGAAAGCTTTAAGCACAAGCAATTTGCATAATCATAAACTGGCAACAGAAATTATAGACACATTGCCAACCTTTGCTGTTGTGAAAGTGTTTGGGAGTCTAGGTTTCAGGTTGAAGATTTTGCTTTAAATACCTGCTGGCTTTTTCTATTCTCTGATTTTGGGCTAATTCTCATTTTGTTACCAGATAAAAGTTGGGGATCGGGGAAATTTAGGACCAGCTCTTTTAAATTAATCTGCCATGAGCTCAAAATAGGCCATCAGAACAACTTCTGAGTAATTGGGATATTGTGAAAACTTCTGTGTAGTGCAACTCAGAAGAAAATAATGGTCTTTTTTCATTTAACAGAATCCTTAAAATTAGCTTTCTTTTGTGTAGTAAACGGAGAATGTTGGAGAAATGGAGAAAAATTATGTCTTTGCCATTTTATGCATGATATAAAACTTACAGCCTTATTGAATAGCACAAGGAAGATACCATAAGTTTCTCAGGGTTATTTTTGCACTTGTGGTAGTTTTTTTCTGAATGCTGATTATGTGAGAGGAGGGCATGGCAAAAGCCACATTAGTTTGTTTAAACCCTGAGATCGTGTGGCTCAGAGTCCGTTACCTGGTGCTGCCAGGTTCCCAATCCCTGATGTATTCCTGGAAGGAGGAAGGTTCTGCTCCCTGCAGATAGACCCAGCCAAGTTTGGCTTTGGCATCACTGTTAGCACAAGCTGTCTAAAAGGATAAAAAAGGCATGATATGACAGACTCTGCTGAGATTTTGCAGACTGTTTGCACTTCAGTGAGCTGTGCTTGCTGGTATGAAGTCAACTGTGTGAATGTCTTGGAATTTGTTTTCTAGTAGGATATTAAATGGCCAGAGTTAAATTTTTGTGGGATTAGGTGTTTTCAGCAAGAGGTGATGAGGGAAAAAAAAGGGTAACTACAAATAGATATATAGAACTATAGATATATACTATGCTAGCTTTTCTTTATAAAAATAGTTTGATATCAGTCATATCAGTTAAAATACTTGCTTAAAAAAAATACATAAATCCCCCCAAATTAATTGCACCATATTGCTTACTCCTGAAGGACTAGCTAGAGAACTCTGACTTCAGTCTCCTTGTAAGTTTCTAACGTTTGTAGTTTTTCCTTAGTACTACTTTGTGCAACTGATTTGACTTTTAAACAAAGTGAATTGAGCCCTGGCTTATCTGTAATATAGGTTGGACATAAATTCTATGCAGCAGACAAAATTCTTGAATCTGGCTTCAGACAATGTAACAAGCTTAGCTTCTGAAGGACTTGCATAAAAAAGCACTTGTCTCACTTTTATTTATCTTAAACATCAGCATTTCGTGTTACTATTCCACTTTTAAGTTTCCCAAATACTGCAGGTTGTAATTATGGAGTTCTAAATATAAGAAGAAATTTCCTCTCTGGTAATTGTAACCCCAAGTACGTTTTTTGTTACAAGAAACATCTTTACCACCGCAGGTGTTTATTACAGTAGATGGGTCTAACCCATGAAGTTGGGATCCAGGACTGTTTTCTTGTGGAGAAGTTTGAAGTCAGTATCTGTGATTCAGGTCAGTCTGTGGGTGTAAGCGCAGCACTGACCAAACATTTTGTGTTTTGCTTTGCAGAAGAGCAGCGATCTCGAAGGCAGCGATGGTTGTGGCGATGATTCTGACTGAGCCAGCAGCTGGCTGGACGTGGGACCCTTGCTGCTTGCAGTTCCCTTTGTCTACAAAAAAAGTGGCCTTTCCAAATCCAGGAATCCAGTGAAACAGGAGTTTGTGTGCTTGCAGAATGAGAACTGGATGCCCAGGAGGAGCTGGGTGGGGAAGACGGTGCAGCAGAAAAAACTGAAGTTTTTTATACCACTGACTGATGTACCTGACTGATATACTTGAAAACAGTGTAGTGGGATAGCAGCTTTCTAAAAAAAAATCTTGAAATGCAGGATATCTTAATTGCTATTTGAATAATGTTTTTATTATGTTTACCTGGAAAATAGTATTTTAAATATGTATAATCTCTATGTAAAAACAGGGTAAATAATTTTAATACACTCCTTTTTATTATGAAGTTATGACTTCATGAGCTTTTGATTTTTTTAAAAAATAATTTACCTTTACTCAAATTGAATCTTAAAGCTTTTACTTTTCATGTCATCCATGGTTTTCCTATGGAATAACATGCATGACCCTGAGATTAACTCAGTTAATTACAGTGTGGTGCTAAAAATGCCAAGTATGGATTCAATCCCTTTATGGACCATTCACTTCAGAGTTGGACTTGGTGATCCTTGTGGGTCCCTACCAACTCAGAATACTCTTTGATTTAGAAATTGTGGGTTAGGAACTCACTATCATGCAACTCCACACATGCTGAACTCCTTTGGTTTTGAAACAAATTTCTGTGTTTTCTAGGGTTTTGCAGGTCTAAAGGAAATGATTCCTTACTCAGTGAGAGGGCTTTAGTTTGGAATGTAGACTGAGCCATACATTCTAAGATAAAACCTTTTCTGTGGGAGGTGCCATCCTCCCAGCATTGCCCTCGTGCTTGGGCAGGTTAAAGGATATAAAAGCACAGCTCCAGGTGTAGTTGGGCCTTTGCTGGCTGAGGTGTAACCCCAAAATCCTCTTGAGCCATCTGCAGGATCCAGAGTTGAGTTGACTTGGCATATGTGAAAGAAATGGTGCTGAATTCTCTGGGCTTTTATCAGGCCTGGGTTTTTGAACTCTTAAATCCCACCGAGCTCCTCAGGACAGGGAATGTCTGCAGTGATATGGGAGGCACATGTCTGAGCACTGCCATCCTCTGGGAACCAATTTTAATTTTCTGTGTTTTCAGGAATTGCATGCTCTGGAGTTTATACTCCTTTTTTCCATCAATGGTTTAACTTCTGGTTCTTGTGTCCAATTCTCTGTGGAGGTGGCAGAAGAAATGACACCCTCCTGCCTTACTAGCCTGCAGAACACTATTGAAGGGTCAGAACAAGCCTCCAAGAATTTGGATATTAGTACAAGTACTTGATAGATTTCTGTTGCTGAGTCTCTGTGGAGACTTGCTTTTTAAGATGGGACTTAATAAAAATGAGGAGTCAAATCTTTGTTCCCACATTTAGTACTGTTTTGCCAAAGTCTTTAATTTTATGGTTCCTTCTGGAATAATTCTTTTGGTTTTGCAGGGTTTTTTTTGGGTTGGTGGGAACTTGGGGAATTTTTTGGGGGCTGTCCTTTAAAAAAGGATTTCAATGTTAATTTTCTGGGTTTTCTTTAGAGCTTTGTCTTTTATCGTGAAGGCCTTGCTGTATTTTATAAGAGCAAGTGTGCAAGTGCCCTGGAGAGGGTTTTTGCTTGGATTTTCATTTACATCCCTTGCTGTTCCATACTATGGACCTACTCTGCTTTATCCTCTATCCAAAGCTCCGTTTCTTTATACCTTTCAATCTGAAAAAAAATTTACCTTTATCTACTTATAATTAAGCCCCCAAAGCTGTGATATGTACCACAGTTGAAATCAAAGAGAAAAATCTATTTGGAGAGAGAAAAAATAAATAAATAAAAACTTAAGGGTCGCAGCTCCCCCCGTGTGCGAGTGGGAGCGCCTGGGTTCCCCCCGCGCTGGGAGGCGAATGGTATCGCCGCGCGGGGCGGGGCGGGGCGCGGTGCGGCCGTGAGGGGGCGCTGCGGGAGAGCGCGGCGGGCCCGGCCGTGAGGGGAGCGCCGGGCGGGCACGGCGGGAGCGGGATAGCACGGGGCGTGCGGAGCGGGTCAGGCTGTGCGGGATGGCACAGGGGTGTATGGGGGTAATACATGGCGGCTCAGGCCGTGCGGGGGTGGCACAGGGTGTACGGGGGTAATACATGGCGGCTCAGGCCGTGCGGGAGTGGCACAGGGCAGTGCGGGACAGGGACAGGGTTCGCCCGGCGCTGGTCCGTGCCGGTGCGGGGTGCGGAGCGCGCAGCGGTGCGAGGGGCATTCCCAGCCCCGCGTTAGCGCCTGTTGCCGACACCCCGCGTACCGGGCTGCGATGTCCCTTAGAGCAGGGACCATCCCGCCCCGCTGCTCTGCGAAACCGCAGATCTGGAGCTGGCGGAGTGACACCAGGCAAGTGACACCCTCCTGTCACAGCTTCCGTCATCTCCCGGGCGTGTGACAGCACCGTGACTGCAGCCCGTGAGTCCCTGGGCTGGGGAAAGCCGAAAGCTTGGCCATCCTGCATCTTCTTCCAAATATGAACATAGCCAGTCCAGACTCAGAATGAGCTGCAGGAGCCCTCCAGGTTTGGCTGCTAGAGATAAAGCAACTGGATAAATCTACTGGGACCATAAGGAATTCAAGTGGTTAATTTGGGTTAAAAGGTCGGTAACCATTGAGATCAACTCCCTTTACAGTTGTGCAGGAAGCAATTCTGCAACCATAAACCCCGTTTTGTAGCAAAATAAAGTGAATGTAAAATTTAAATCAAGATATAAAAGTGGGTAGAGCTTTGGAAGTGGTAGCCCAATGCACCATTTTTTTGATAAAGAGATACTTTATTAGGTTAACTTTATTTCAGTTCCAAAATGGTACTTCACAGAGACTCATAATTAGTCCTGACAGCAATTTAAAAAAAAAGTAATGAACTTTAAAATAATGCTGTTACATCTAGTACTTATATTAATGACTTAAGACAAAGTGTAAGTTTTAAGGTTTGTAATTAATGATAACTGCTTTAATGAGATTTTCTGTAATTGTAACATTATATCTAATACCAATTGTTGCACATTTAAAAAACCCTCTGGAGAAAATCTTAGAGATCCTAGTAAGTGTTACACATCTCATTTTCCATGCATTGGGTTTAAATTTGTACCCTCTGAGCCCAATTTGTTGCTTTCCTTAATTAATGTTGTTGCATGAAATTTTTCCCTTTTGGTCATTTGATACCCTGATAGAGATTGGTTGTGTAGTTGTCAGCTCTCTGCAGGGTGTTGTTAGCAAAGATCTTGTCAGCTTGAAGAGTGGATAAGTGCATCCTCGACTGACTTGTTGATTGAGTCACACCTCAGAGCTTCCAGGCAGGCAGGTCTGTTGGGGTGCGGTGGGAAGCTGATTTCACCAGCTGTGTAACAGGCTGTATTGCCACTTTCTTTGGTTCTCTTTGTCATTTCATTATTTTCTTTACTGAAACTGCAATTTTTGACAGTCTCTCTGCAGGTGGAATGCCTCCTGTCCCTCAATTGGCTCAGCAGATCAGCCAGGAGGAAAACCAACAGCAAAATGGACCAAATTTGTCAAGTTTGCTTAATTCCTTACCTGCTGCACAGAGCAGGAACCCAGCAGGTACAACCAGCAGGATGGGATAAGAACCAAGTACTTGTGGTCCCAGCTCCAGTTCCCTCACAACAACAGGTATATTTGTATATTATACAATATTTAAAATATACAACATTTGTATATTTTCTTCTATGGGAGTGTTGACCTTTGTGTTTTGTGTGGGCACTTTGTGGATGGCAGAATTTGTCACTCCAGCCTGGGGAGAAAGGAACAAATAATTCCAGTATTTTTAGCAGGTGACTTTACCAAGCCTGATAATTTGCTTCAGACAGCTGTGGTATAGCTCAGCTGGGTATGAATCTTTGCAAAAAATTTTTGTATTCCTTTAAATTTAAAATGCTCTGTGGATACGTGTACCTCTCATTTGGTTTTAATTAGTACTGCAGATATACATGATTTTTCTCAAAGAAAGGAAAGGAGTGAGAAGGACTCAGACACGTTCTCTAGGGAAGTAGCATTTCTTCCTGTAATGAAGCCCTAGAAGGAGATTTAATTAAACAGAATCCATCATTTAAAAATTTCATGCACCATTTTAAAATAAGGGGGGAGGGGGATGACAATGAAAATTTGTGCTGCTTGTGCTGATTTGCCAGCAGTTGCAGGATGCTTACATGTGTTAATAAAAATGCATTAAACTAAATGTGTTTTTATATGAACTTTTTTGGGAATTTTGTCCATCTGCCATCTGGCAGAGTATTTAAATTCTGTGAAATTTCCCACTGAATCAGCCAGCACTTCTAATGAGATCTAGGGGTACTATATTTTAGGAGGAAAAACAAAGGTTCTCAAGACTGAGTAGCTCTGCATCCCAAGATTCTCTACTGATTTCTGGTATTACTCCTGTCTCACAAAGTCCTTCGGAAACTTTACAAAAAGCTGCAGAAAATGTATTAGTCATTATCTTTTAATAAAGTGCAACTTCAAACACCATGGAATGTTTCCAAGGACTGAATAATTGTTTCTGTTGATTATCCATGTAACATTTTAACATTTTTCACAGTGTCTGTCTTGGTTCTGCCCGAACTCCATGAGGTCTCACATCATGATTATCTTCTGGAAGAAATGCAGTGGATGTCAAGAGATTTTTTTCAAGAAAGAAGATGAAAGATGATAACTGTCAAGAGAGTAATGTGAATTTGATATTTTCAACCAGAAAATAATAGGCAGCATTTTCATCATTAGGATGTGATCACTGAGGATCTGGGAGTTTGGGGTTGCCTCTCCACTGTTTATAAACTTTAAACAGTACTCCTAAAGGGATTGTAATTATTTTCTTCTTTAGAAATGTGGGTTTTTTAGATAAAATTGAGTAAAAAAATAATTGTATGGTTTTATTTTAGGGTTAATATGTCAAGGTGGGAATAGATGGGTCTGGAATGCCAGTTCTACAAAGACAAATGCTTTAATTGTGAGCAATGAATTAACTGCAGAGCTTGTCATTTGAGGGCGCTGCCCTGTCTGTGACTCCTGGTAACATGAGAATAATGCTCTATTTCCATGCTGTGGGCTCTTGGAACCTTTTAAAGTAACAGCAGCTGCTCTCTGCAGTGTCACATGACACATGGCTCTTCCAGTTCCACTTTAATTCTGCCATCAGCTGGGAGCTTTTTCATCATCCTCAGATACTGTGCTATTATTACTATTTTTTTTTAACTGCAGCAGAATAGTATTAAAATATTTCTTTACTTGGTGTGTTTTTTTCTTTTACTATAACTTAAGGACACAGACTGGTCTCTCTCTGATGTGAATGGGATGGAAAACCAAATTACTTGCTACAAAGCACAAGTGTTGCCAAAACTGAAGGTAATTGGAAAGCTTATTGAAGAGATCTCCTGCTCCCCTTCATCACCCAGACTTGAGCCAGTGAAGCTCAAACCAAACAGGTATGTACTGTTCAGGTGATTGATTTTTTTTTTTTAATAGCATATGAAAAGGAGTAATATTTGTGAGGGCTGAGAAGGTTCATTCAGAATTATTTGTTTATTTTTTTTAATATTTTGTTTCGAAACTGATCACTGCTAAAGACTTTATGCCTTTAAAGTCTTCTCCCTCAGTCTTCTGAGGGAAAGCTGAGTGCTTCTTACTGCTTAATAGTTCTTTTCATTTATGAAAGCTCAGTTTGGATCTTTCTGGCCACGCTCAAGAGTTGGTCACTTGTGGTTTTGATCAAACACTGAAAATTGCTTCTGGAGTAGTTTCCTAAGCAGAATAATTAAATCTTCTCCTTCTAGTTAATTTTCAGATGTACTTGCAAAACACTTAAAGAGTTTTTTTTTGGGGGGGAGGGGAGAGGGGGAGGGAAGGACAGAGGGAGAAAGAAATGCTCAGTTTAATTTTGAGCTTATTTGATTTTTGTTCCTGAGTCTTCCCTCAGAGAAGAAGTTAGGGTTCAGTTCTGAGTCTTGGAGCAAATGTAATTCTGCTGTAGAGCAATGTAGAGTTAAATCTTACAGTAAGTTAGCCTGATATGAGAAGAGTAGGATCAGTGAGGCCCAAGACAGCTTGTGTGACCTGTGGCTGTGACAGGTGACAAGGAGAATGTCCTGCACTAGCGTTCTTAGGCTGTTCTGCCAGAAGAGAGCATTGGCAGCTAATGAAGTTAAGGACTTGGAAATGATAGCTGAAGTATATATGTAAAACAGATAAAAAACTCATTCTTTTTCTGTTTAGACACCTTTGGTTTCCTGGAAATAGCATACACAAACAGTTACTGTGAAATCAGCTCTTAAAACTGCAGTGTTTTTGAAACCATACCCACAGTGAAAGCTTTGCTCCGTCGAGAAATTTGACCCTTATTAGCATCTTTTGGGGAGTTCTCTTGCTGTTTCCACACTTCAAAGATGACTATGGGATATGGGAGTTCTGTTATGCCCCTTCCATGTGATCCTTCAGAATGACTGGAGCATTAGAGCATTTGGTGTACTTGAATTTTACAGTATAGTGTGTTTCTTCTGTGTGTTGAGAGAAGCAGAATCCCTCCTGCCATATGCTCTTCAGCTGGGTACCTCTTTCAGCTTAGATTAGTGACTAAAAATAATATTTTTGCCAGTAGGCATAGAGTAGGAAAGCAGATTTATTTTTCATTGCGGTACCAAAGCTAACATTTGTCCTTGTGTCACAAGTGTCAGCTGTTCTCCTGTTCTCTTCTCCATTCAAAGAACTCTTGCCTGAGCTAAATTATCCTACTAAATTTTCAACTTTGTTTTTTGCATAAGCTTTATCTGGCCACAACAGATTCGGAAAAGAATTTTGAATTTAAAGGTTATTCCAGGAGAAAGGGAGAACTGAAGGAACACCTGGACAAAATATACTTCTTGAATGAGTGTCATTGTTCCAGAACCGCCCTGTATGGCAGAGACCTGTCGGAAACTTGCTCTTGGATCAGTGAAAGAAAAATCTCTCAGCATTGTTCTGCCAGGATTAACAAGCGGTGCTGGGCTGGCTTTGCAAATTGCCTCCCACACTCCAGCACTTCAGAAGCTCTGAGGATCCATTGCAGGAACTCATTCTGACACTGAAACAGCAGCAGATTGCCCTGAAGGATGTTATTGCCAGGTAATCGAGACAAATCCATGTGCAGTCTTTGCACAAATTTGGTGGGTGTGTGCTACCCTCCAAAACAGGGTATTTATGTGAACAACTGTAAAATGCAAAATGATAAATTGGCTGCCTTGTTTTATCCTTTTTGCAGGCTACATTTCTCTTTCTCTATGCTGAACCTATTTGCATCTCAGATGTATACTTTTGGATCTGAAACTTTCAATAGTTCCATGGCAACTGTTATTACTTATATAATCATTCTACTTGATTTTGACATATCTTGTATTTGTTGTGTTAAGTTAATGCTGACAAAAAAAAAGTAGGAGTTGTAGTAAGCTTCTCTTGGTAACTTTATGGATAGTGGTAATTTCCTCTTCAGCTTTTTTTTCACTTACTTGATATCAGCTTAAAACTACATGTCCTGATTTACTTTCTATTACCTTTAGCCAGGTGCTTTGTGCTTCTTTCCAGATATTACTGGTTTTGAGTGGTTAATAGCCTGAGCAGTTAAAAATCAGTATAAAAAAGTTTTGATTTGTTTTATAGAGACCTGTGTGTGTTCCCAGCTGTAGCAGTTGCTCCTCCGTGTTTGTATGGAGCAAATCCTTCTTAGGCATGGAGCCATGGAATGAAACTCCTGCAGTTCAGTCTCGAGGAACAGAGATGGTGCAGTGTGATTCAGGTATTAAACACCCACCACTGGTTACACCTGTGTGCAGGGGCTGTCTCCAGTTGTGAGTGTGACCTGCAGAACCCTCAGGTTCTCATTCACAACCAGGCAAGCTCTGGCTGTCCTGCTTTGGCAGCTGAAAGCAGAAGGGACAGCGGGTGCCGATTTTGACACAGATGATTGCAATGCTCAGCATCCTGGAGCTTTTCCTGAATTTCCATTTCCTCATGTTAGTGAGGGTGGTGCTCACAGCTCGCATTATCTGGTAAGAGGATCTCTTCCTCAAGCTCATAGTGAGTAGATGCTCATGGTGGGAAGGCAAATGCTAAAGGAAAGTCTAAGACAATGAGATTCATTTGCATAATTTCCTTACTTATTGAACCAAATTATGTATGTAGCTGTAGCTCAAATATGTAATTATATATGAAATATGTCAGTCATATTACTATTTGATGAGGCATCTAGGGTGTTTCCAAGGAGTATGCCACTAGTTATCCTATGTTTATGAGCAATTTGTGCTTCAAATGCAGATTTTGTTTTCACAATAGCCATTTGATTAATTTGCCTTTGCTTTCATTATTTGTAGCTGTTTACATTGTTAGTACTTTAAGTGTAGTTGGTGTTTTTATGTTGGCAGTTCCTCAGCCTTACTCCAGGGGCTTTTATTTTTCGTAAAGTGCCCTGGCATTGCCTGAGGATAAATTGAAAGTATGCTCCTTTCCCTCCCCAGCAAGATTCTCTATATCCTCTGGGGCCTACAATTTGAGCAAACATTAACAATATATTGAAGTTTTTCTTCTTTTTTATTCCAAATTGCATCATTATGCTTTCTGTTAGATGCAGTATAAAACATGAAATAATACTTTGCCTTAAAGCAACACAAGGCAGCACAACAGAAGGGATTTGATTTAGTCAATGGACAAGAAAAATAATGAAGCATATACAGGAATAACAACTCAGGTGTGCTTAGTCATAGGACAAGATGTGATTACTTGTAATAGATCTTTAGATTTTTATATGGCTGACTGCACCATAAATTAATAGCTTTAAGGGTAGACAGATTAATTATGAACTGTGTAGATCTATAATATAGGCAGTCAAATAACTTGAAGTGTTTGCACACTTAATGTAGGTTGGGGAAGTAATAAGAAAGCAATTTTTCCAGTCTTCTCACTCTGTTAAAAAAAGTTTGTTTAGAGATTTATCCTATATTAATGTGAATTTGTAGTTAAGTTGCTTGTTTCCTTCCCCATTTTAGGAATTCATAAAAAGTTTCAACCAAGACAAGTGATCCTTCAGTGCTATCCTGTGTTCCCACACTCCCTCCACAGGTGTCAGTCACACAGATGTGATTCCTCTTGTCTTCTCTGACACTGATTTAGGTCTGTTGATGGACACAAAGATGGAGTGGTGTGACAAAAGTGCAAGAGGCAGAGATACCCACACATACAGGTGAATTTCATGCTAAGAAGTCAGTGGTTTAAAATAAAAAGTAGAGAGAAGATGATTTGGGGAGAAACTAGGATTTTTGGTTGAGGTCACCCTTCTAGTTTAAGTAACTTGGTCTTTTAAGATGCCTTCAAAGATGATATCATAATCTTTCCCTTCAAACTTGGGGGAAAATGAAAATCACATCCTTCCCACACTGCTGCTTCTGCTCCTGTCTTTCTCTCCCACTTTCATCTAACAAACCATCTGGAATTCTGTGTTGGGACAGCCAAAATAAATGTGGGTGTTTTCAGCCTTTGATAAACAAGAAATGTCATTACTGATCATCATTGAATTTCAGATCCACCAGTGAGGAGATGCTGTGTGTGTAGGTCTAAGGTGTATTTGAAAACTTCTCTCAAGTGACTGTTTCTTGTCTTGGAAGGATGTGCTGAGACCACAACGAATGTAATGGGTTTCTTTGTTTTACAGGCTTTTAAGTGGTAATTCTATTGAAGAGAGGCTGTTGAAAAAGAGTATTAAACATGATTCAAGAACTGGCTGCTCAGGGAGGGGATTGTTCAACAGACTTTTTATCCCAGGTACTGTAACATTAAGAATGTGAGCAGAATTTAATGACACATAAAAAAATAAGTGTTTTACTAGATCTGAGACAGAATTTTGAAAAGGTAATGGTTTATTTATTTTTAGGCTTGTTTGGGAACCAGTGAGGTGTGTTCACAGCTAAATTCAGTAGAAATCCTGAACTGTCAGCTCATATAGAAAATCAGAAGGTAACAATATCTAATAAATATTGATAATATTGAGAAGTTGTAATAAAGATCTGCGTGTTCCAATGATAATGCTACCCTTTTATTGACATTGCAAAATCTGCAGCAAAAGGTGTCACATACATCTGTAATCTGACTTTTCTCAACTTGATTTTAGGATGACTAAAAAAATTTGGCATTGTTTTCTTAAAGGTCTTGGATCGTATCAGTGATGTGTTTAACTTTTGTAACATGTTTATCACTCTCCAAAGCAACGCCAAAAGGGTTACATATAAACCATTGCAGCCCCTGAGGGAAAGGAGAGTTCAAGTTGAAACTTGCTTTGCATTGTGAGCACTTGGGGACTTCTGGGGTCCTTTTCGGTTTTTTTTTTTTTTTTCCTTTTAATTTCTCATTGCTGTTAGAGTACTACATGAGTGTTTACTAAGCAGAAACATAACTAAATTTTAGAATTTTGAATAGCTTGGTATACAAACAAATGTTAGTAAATACCTTCTCCTAACAGTATGAATAACACAGGTTATATTTATTACATTTCCACACACTTAGGAGTATGAAATTTCCTCGATGTTATGACAATATGACCTTGGATGTATCATTTTGCACTACCAGTGTATTAAAAACAAGGGAGGGGGGATGTTTATTTTAACTTCTAAGTGGTAGGATATGAATTATCTTCAGTCAAGACTATTGATAACTATTAATTTTGAGACAGGGGACATTTGATGATGTATTTTTGGTACCTAAGCCTTCACTTTGTATTTATTTCAGAATGTAGGAGGTCATCCTCTTTTTCTTAGACAAGCCTTGATAAAAAACAGAATTCTGAGTCAAATCAAATGGATTTCAGTCAGAATTCAAATCGATGACAATGACAACTAGAAAAAGAAGTTCCTCAAATAGATTTCTGTAAGTTTACTTCCACTGTCAATATTTTTTCTCAGATTTAACAGTAAATCACTGCTGGTCTGATTGGTGAATTTCTTTTCTCTTAAGCACGAATGTATTTCACGGGGACCTTTTTCTTATCAAAGGTTCTGTGCTGACCTTTATTTAAGGTAAAGTGTCCAAGAATCAAATCTGTGCTCGTGCTGATGTAAAGAAAAGCCTGAAGTGCTTCAGTACGGCTCCACCTGATGTACCACAAGTCCTTCCTCGTGTCCGGGAGGCCCCTCCTGAGCATCGGTGTGCGCCCGCTGTGTCTCGTCCTGTAACCTGGCAGCACCGAGCAGAGCCGGCCGTGCCCCGAGTCCCTGCAGGCGCTGACAGCCAGGGCTGGGTCCCCTCTCAGCCCCCTGCCCGAGGCTGAGCAGCGCCGGCTCCCTCAGCGCTGCCCCGCTGGGATGCTCCAGCCCCTCCATCACCTCCGTTTGCCCGCCTGGCCTCGCTGCGGGCGCTGCCAGTCCCTGCAAGTGTGGATTTCCACACCGGCTGTTGGAGAGAAGCGACAGCCCAGCTCCGTGCGCGGTCCCTTTGCTCGCTCCTTACCCTGCCCTGCCTCCGCCACAATAAATACAACTTTTCCGCGCTGTCGCCGAGCCCGTTCCTATCGCGACAGGCCCCGCGGAGCGCGCAGGCGCGGCGCTGGCGCAGGCGCGGCGCGGCCCGCGGGTGGCGGCGCAGGCGCGGCGGGACGCGGTTTGTCTCCTGCCGGCGCTGGTAGCGGCGCCCCCGCCCTCGCTTCCTGCCCGCAGCGAATGGAGCCCGCGGTAAGTGCGGCCCGCGGGGCCCGCCCGGGCCCGGCTGCGCGCCCCGAACGGCCCCGCCGCAGCACCGCGGGGGGACGGGCCCGCCCGGCGCGGCGCGGGGGACGCGGGGCGGGCAGGGCCGGGCCGGGCCGGGGGGAGCCCCGGGCGGGGGGAGTCCCCGCGGAGCGGCGGCGGCGCCGCGCTTCGGCCCCGGCCCGGGGACCCGCCGCGCTGCTCGCACACAAAAGGCGATCCCTGCATCGGGACCTCCCTTGTCGGCCTGTAATTAATTAAGTGTTTTCACTGGGGCCGTAAGTGTTAGTGAGGTGCGGGTAATTAAAATAACAAGACCTTGATGCGTGTGGTATCGTTTGAATCTTAACTATTTGTTATCGGCGCTGTGAAAGAACCACGATACCTCGAAGAATTGCAGTATTGTTAAATCTTTTGGAAAAGGGGCCTGTAAGGAGTGCAGTTTTTTCTCCTTCCCGCTCTACTGAGGGAGCTCGCTCAGATCTGAGCTCCGGGGAGTGGGAGAGCCGCGACCCGACGGGATCAGCCCGGTACGGAGAGCTCAGACCCGCCGGGATGAGCCCCGGGGCGGAGAGCCGAGACCCGGTGCGAGGAGCTCAGACCCGCCGGGATGAGCCCCGGGTCGGGGAGCTCAGACCCGCCGGGATGAGCCCGGGGCGGGGAGCCCAGACCCGCCGGGATGAGCCCCGGAGCGGAGAGCCGAGCCCCGGTGCGGAGAGCCGAGACTCGCCGGGATGAGCCTCGGGCGGGAGAGGCGAAGCCCGCCCGGAGGAGCCGCTGTGCCGGCTGCGCTCCCCGCTACTCCCGGCACGGGAGGTCCCGGGTCTCGGCCCCCTGTCGCTGCTGGCACGAGTGTGACAGCGCTGCTTTGTTCCACCTTCCCGGACAGCCGCCTGTTTCCCGGGGCAAGGAAGGGACTCTCCATCCCCAGGGCTTGGGCGGATGGCTGCAGGCGGCGGAGGGCTGTGTTTGCTCCCTGCCTGGGCAGCGGAGGAACGGGAGAGCCGGCTGCATCCCACCGCTTCCCAGCGGTGCTGCCGTGTCGGTGTGCTGCTGCCTGGTGCCGCCTGCGACCAACTCCGAGTTAGGAACACACAGGAGTGGCAGCATGTTTGTTTATGTTTGGCCTGAAATGCTAAAAGTGAAAGTGTTGCTTTCAGAAGAGGCGAGAGAATTTGAAAGAAAAAAAAAAAACGCACATTAGGTTTCATTTTCTCTTGCTGCTGTTTCTGTGTGAGTCCTAGCCCTGAGTCTACCTGTCAGTGCATGTCATTGGAATTTTTGTTTGTCTGTGATTGAAATACAAAACCAGAGTGTTTTGGGATTTCTGGGTAGCTTGACTCAATAAACAGCATTTTAAATGAAATGCAGATTTGGTTAATTTTTGTCTCTTTGTGTTCTTAAGGACAAGAAGGCAAAGTTAAGCATCAAGTACAGTAGTTTTTCATACATTTAGATGAGTTGGCCTTCAGTAGCTAGAACAATGAAGTTGAATAGTCTGTCTATTTTTTTATTTTTAGTTGCTGTTGAAACAATGTTTCAAATATGTTTTAGCAATTACAATAACTTTGCATTAAGAGTTACAAGCACTGAATCTTTGGTAATAATGAACATGAAAAAAGAGTAGATGTCTTGATGCTGGAGACCGTCATTTCTTAAAGTTCATAGCAAGGGAAAAAGTCCTGTTCATTCTTTTTATTATTTGAAGCTGTTCTACCTAGCTAAGGGGAACACAAGACTATTCAATAGCAGTATTAGCTAGAGAAATTTATGAGGGATTTAAGTGAGATTTTTGTTGTGCTGAGAGTTTTGGATAATTTGAAACATTTTAAGTAACTGCAAAACCAGGATAACAGTTCTTACTATAAGGCAATCTTTCTAATTGTAATTAAATAGTTTCAGTTGCAGAAGAGCTTTTACATTCCCTGAATGTCTGTTTTTGTGTATTTCTCTAGACTACACTGTAGAACCTTAGATCAGTGAGGATGCACCATGGCAATGGTCCTCAGAATGCCCAGCGCCAGCTGCAGCGATCCAGGTCCTTCACAGGCAGTGAGGGAGAAGAACAACAGGCAAATTTACCCCAGTCCCCCGCAGCCTCTTTCGCGCCTTCTGCGAGTCCCTCAGCGCCGCAGTCGCCCAGTTACCAGATCCAGCAGTTCATCATGAGCCGGAGCCCGGTGGCCGGGCAGAACGTGAACATCACCCTGCAGAATGTGGGCCCCGTGGCCTCGGGCAACCAGCAGATCACGCTCACCCCACTGCCGCTTCCAAACCCCACGTCCCCGAGCTTTCAGTTCAGCCCCCAGCAGAGGCGCTTTGAGCATGGATCCCCCTCGTACATCCAGGTCACCTCTCCGCTGCCCCAGCAAGTGCAGTCCCAGAGCCCCACCCAGCCCAACCCGGTGCAGGCGCTGCCCAGCGTCCGGGCAGGCACCCCCGGGCCTGGCCTGGGCATGTGCAGCCAGAGCCCCACCAGAGGCTTTGTGGATGCCAGCGTGCTCGTGAGGCAGATCAGCCTGAGTCCTTCCAACGGCGGACACTTCGTGTACCAGGAGGGCCCGGGGATCGCACAGATTGCTCAAGGAGCTGCTGCTCAAGTGCAGCTTCCATCGTCCGGGCCGCCTGCCACCGTGAGGGAGCGCCGGCTCTCGCAGCCCCACTCGCAGTCTGGGGGCACCATCCACCACCTCGGCCCTCAGAGCCCTGTGGCCAGCGGGGCAAATATGCAATCTTTGACTAGCCCGGGCCACATCACAACGACCAGCTTGCCACCCCAAATCAGCAATATTATCCAGGGGCAGCTTATGCAGCAGCAGCAGCAAGTGCTTCAAGGGCAGCAGCTGAGTAGACCCATTGGATTTGACAGGACTTCTGGTGGATTGATAGCAGGGGTTGGAGGACCAAGTGCATTTGGAATGACATCACCTCCTCCTCCCACAAGTCCTTCACGGGCCACTGTGCCACAGGGGCTGTCGAGTCTTCCTCTCACTCCTACAGCTAACACAGCAGTGAAAAAACAGCCCAAAAAGTTGGAGGAGATTCCTCCTGCCAACCAAGAAACTGCTCAAATGAGAAAACTATGTTTGGATCATCACCACAAGCAGATGGAAATTCTTAAGGAAACTTTTAAGGAGTGTTTGATTGAACTGTTTTTCCTGCAACATCTTCAGGGGAATATGATGGACTTTTTAGCTTTTAAGAAGAAACATTGTGTTCCTCTGCAAGCATACCTGAGGCAAAATGACTTGGATTTGGAGGAGGAAGAAGAGGAAGAACAATCTGAGGTCATCAATGATGAGGTAAGAAACTTTGTTGGAATAAAATCATAGATGAAGTTGTAGCACTGGGATTGTGAGGTATTAAAGAATGGGACGGGACATGAAAAATCATTTTTGCTTGGTGAAGTATGGCAGTTTTTCATAAAATAGTTGGCCTGAAAGAATACAGTTCTGCTGGGTAGTGTCATTTGATGGTTGGTTTGAGTGTGCTATTAGATTTTTGTGTTTAAAATAAAAGCATAGAGAGGGAGCTTTAACTGTCCTAGCTGCACACAAATAAAGATGGTAGAAGTACGGAAATGGTTTTAAACTCTCAGAATGGTTATGACTAGGAATTGTAGCTTGAATTTCACTTAACTAGACTTGGACAAACCAAAAAAGAATGAGCAAAAGCATTACAAGAGGTTAACCTGACTCATGTGACTGCTAATCATAGATGTCACTGAAGTTCAATGTTGCTGCAGCAAACAAAAAATGTGAATTAATCTAGTTAGTGAGGGAGAACATGTGTAAGGGTCCACAGTCATATATTACATTGTTTAGGGTGCCCTGGAGCTCTGTGTGTGAGCTGCTGTTTAAAGGATGAACAACCAGCACTTACAGACTGGACATTGACAAGTTCACTTTGTTACTTATGCAAAGTAACTTGAATTCACTGCTTATTGATGGCAAAGGACTTGAAAGAAGCTTGCCACAAACAGGTGCAGTGCAGCTTTTCCTGCATGTTTGTACCCATCTGTGGGTGCTGGAGCACTGGTCTGGTACAGAGCCTGCCCACAAGCCAGCATGGCAAATGGTTGCAGTAGGGTACTGATGCCCCAGCACCACTAGGCACTCATAAATATCTTCTAAAATTTATGAATTATGTAGCTGCCACCTTGTAGAAGAACCAGTATTATGTGAAGAACCTCGTTTTGCTTTGAATGCCCTTTGGAAACGAGTGCCTTCACTGAAATTTGATGGCTCTTAGGCATGAATCATTTGCAAGCATACCTTCAATTGGAATTTGTGGGAAATTTTAACAGAATAATGGCTGAAGTTTTATTTTTCTTAGTACTTTGTTATATAAGCTTCTTAATTAGGAAAAATATATTTCTGCTTGTGACAGTTATTGACAATTTTATAGGAATCATTACTTTATATAGTAACATAAAAGCTAGCCTGTTTACTGTATTTTATTGACAATGGATATTCAGTATTTTTTTTTTTCACCTGGTTTGTGTTTTGTCAAATTGTTTAGGTGTTCTTGTTGGGTTGCGTGTTTGTCAGCTGAAATAACCAGGTATTTTTAACTACCATCTGCACACTTTGAGGGATCTTTAGGGGGTGTAAATGGTACAGGTTCCTTGAAGTCAGTGGTGTTGCTACACTTTAAATGAGTTGAGGCTCTTCCCTGTGGTGTTTTGGGTTGAGAATTTGCTGTACTTCGCTGCCTTCTCGTGGTGGATCCTCTTTTGTTTGTGGAAGCTTCTTGTCCCTGTAACTGCTGGAGAATTTTGCAAAGTACAACAGCAAAAGTCTTTATGTGTTTTCAAGTGATGAATCCTTATGAAAGATTAAGACATCTTTTGAGTATGTTCTTTCTCTGTATTTTGTTGTCGTCTTCTGTTTTATTTCCCCCTCCCCTCTTTATCACTTTCTGCTAAAGCAACACGCTTCATCCCTTGCCTGGAAGGTTGATTTCTTTGGGAATTCGAGGGGAGAGTGAATGGTGGCTGTGCTCATTGCTTAAATAAATGTTGAAGCTCTCTTGCGTTCAAACTGTCTGTCATGCTAATTTGTTGTCTGTTAGCAGCAGCAATCATTCAATTTAAAACACACTTTTGTGTTAACTGGATTTAAGAAAACGTTTCCAGTGACGAGAAGTCACATTAAACAGTCAAGGCTGTGCTCTGTTCTGCTACTAAAAGTAAGACAGAACTCTAAAAATGGGCTGTGCTTGAAACAAGCTGTACTGGTGGTGGTTTGGTTATTATCCCCTCTTCAGTGAGGTGCCATCAGTACCAAAGGAGTGTGTTGAACAGTTAAAAAAAAGAGAAACCTCTAAAAAGAAAATGATTCTCCCTTCTTTTTTTTTTTTTTTCCCAAAATATTTCTCTCAGGTAAAGGTTGTGACAGGAAAGGATGGGCAGACTGGTACTCCTGTCGCTATAGCAACCCAGCTTCCTCCAAATGTTTCTGCTGCTTTTTCATCCCAGCAGCAACCATTTCAGGTACTTTTCAATGGTTCTAAAATGTAGTTTCATCCCAGATTTTTTTTCTTCATTCAGATTTGATATTTCTTAGATGAATTAGAATTTTCCCAAGAGCCCATCCCTTATCATCTAAACAAAACCAAAAAACTTCTGCAGTCTTCAAATGCATCAGTTTAACTGAAGCCTTGAGGAAGTTAAAGCTTTGTCTCCAGGTTGCTGGCTTATTGCATTAACTTTCAGCTTGAATGTTTTCACTTTGGTTTGTTTGTCTTTTGTATCCCTAATGCATTTGGTTCATTTGTGCATTCTGCGTAATGATGATATGGATTCTTTGTCTGTGGCATTGTAATTGTGGATTTCTTCTAAAATTCTTTTCTTTTTTTTCTTCCCCTTATGTATTAAAGGTTTTGAGTGTGGCTACAGAAGGTTTTGGATTTGCCTTCCCTGAAATGTGTTAAACAACAGTACTAATCCTCTGACACAATTTGTTTTAAATAATTAACTGCTTTCCATTAGCTCTGCCATAAATGTTTGGAAGAAGAAACAGAAGTGGTTATTTTTATTATAAAAGTCCTTTTAAACAATTCTTTTCTTTTTTCACGAGGAATGCTGGAGAAAGCCAAGAAATAAATGTGATAAGCAGTTAAAATGTTTGTGGATCAGTGATGATACAGCTTTTCAGTTTGGTGTGGTTTTATGCAGCTGCCTTCAACTCTGTTACCCAGACATCACTGCATACATACCCTGAGAAGTAATACACCCTAATTCCATCTGCAACTAAAATATTTACCTTTTAGCTCAATGATATTCTCAGCAGGTGTTGCAGGGTGAATTACTCTGCCGTACCACAGCAGCTGTACAGGCTGTGCTGCCTTTATCTAGGCTTTGGACTTGGAAAGTGAAATGAAATACAAGATGTGTTGTGTTCCTGTGTGTAACAAATGGGATGTTCCCTGTGATATTGTACAAAGGAGTTGTGCAGCAAAGAGGATTCACTGAGAGCTCTTCCTTAGGGCCAGTACTGACATGTCTTGGAAGTCTCCTTAGGTAGTCAGGCTCTGTTTAAGCTGTTTAAAATACTTAATATTACATTAGGTTATTTATTGTAATGATTAGGGCTACCACCAAGCTGTACCTGCAGCAGTGGTGATACTTTTGAAGGTATTGTACCATGCAGTTTCAGGGAAAGTGGTTCATGCTAAAAATGCACAAAACTCTGTGTGGTACTGACCTTTTAGCACAAACTGCTAACAGGAAGTGGCATTTCTTTCCATCAGTCTTGCTCTTTGCAACTGTTTATGGAGAAATAATGTGTCCCAGTCAGCATCACCATTCAAATCCCAGTGCAGAAGTGCAGTGCTCAGAGTGATTATTGTGTGCATACTGCATAATAATGACCTCAGGACAACTACATTATTTTAATTAAAGTTAGGACAGTTTTAGTCTAATATTGGTATGTGACTGCAATTTATAAAGACATAACATGTCTGCTCTCTGAAGAGTGGCCTAAATTACGTGGTGGTAGTGCAGACAGCTGGGAGGCATATTCTTAAGAAAATGTCAGTCAGAAATCCTAAAGTAGAGATACAGCCTGAAACTGTGGCTATGCAGTCACCCAGAGGGAGAGAGCAGGTGAAATAAATGACATATAATGTAGAATTCGAAGAATATAATTTCTTAAACTGATGTCCCAGGAGCCTGTGATGCAAAAAGGACATAAACTGAATTTGTTAGTCAGTTTAGTAGCATTTACATAGTCAATTCTTGTTGCTTATTTTGAAAATTCTGTGAATGCCCATGTCTATGATGCTCTGCCAGACACTGGCTGTTGGACCTGAAATATGTTGCATATCTATTTTGTGACAAGACAAATACTTGAAAACTTAATCCCTATTGAGTGTGAAATGGCAGTGAACTGTGAATATGAATCAGAGATACTTAAAACCAGAATTTACATCTTAAGGCTGGAGCTGTATCACTGGAGTGGGTGCAAATGCCCTCAGAGCAGCAAAGAGATTAAGTGTTATTAATTCATAGCTATTGATTGAGTCTGAGGGGCATGAGATCTATTCAGCTCAAAAAGGAGCATTTGAAACCCAGTCACTGTAGGTGATGTTGGCTGTGATTATTAATACCATGCAGTGAAGCACTGAAGATGCAGGATGTCACTGCTGTGATTTATTTCAGCATAGACTGGTGTTTACCTCTGTGGGTTAAATTTACATTGGTAAAATTTTGTTTAAAATCGGAGGAGAAAATACCTGTGAATAAAGTAAACAATTTTAAATGGAAAATTACTGCCTTTTGCATTGTCATCAAAAAATTTCACAACATTTACAAACCCTTACTATACCTCAGCATGTTTAAGGCTCTCACCATTAGAAAAGTACACTTTGAGTACTAGAATGCTAAATTAATTCATTTCCCAGGATGCAGAGACTGCCATACATAAAGTCTGTGTTTGTATTTTCTGGTGGAATCTCTTTAAGACATTTTTTGGGATAGCCCTTATTTTTCTCATACTAAGTTTCACAGTAGAATATTTGGTACAGCATGGCCAAATACTGAGGAGGAGTTAAAAATTATTTGGAAACTCACTGAAAGGAATTGGAGTTGCACAGACACTGATGGACATTAATAAATACTTGCCAGTATGCTGAGGCCCCAAAGAGCATGAAAATTGTCATATACCCAAATTTGTTTGCTTGAGTAATCCTGTACATGAGCCTGTCACCTGTGCTTGATGCTGAAGGGATTCTCTGGGACAGGTTCTTGCCATCACTGCTGATATTAAATGTAGTTATTTAAAAATAAAGCTTGAATGCACTGTGTAATCTTACTGAAGCTAAATTCCAGCTTGCTGAATCAGAGCCCAGTGATTCCTTTTGCATCTTGATATCAACAGTGCTCTTCCAGACTTTTTAATTCACAGTTTGTGTGCTGTTTAGCCTCAGACAAAATGGATAGTAATTTCTGGTGAGCTCTGATGTCACCTTAACCTTATGACAATATTGTTTCTCCTCACTGAGTTTATTCATGAGGCTCATTTTGCCAGCTGTGCAAACAGGTACAAGTCCAGCATCTGGAAAACTGGAACTGGAACTTGTGTACCTTGGCTGAGGTTCTTTATTCCATCTTCCTAGCTTTTTCCTGAAATATTTCAACAGTAACTCTCACAAAGCTCTATCCTGAGAGTGCTGGAAACTCAAATAAGCTTAAGCTGTTTTCAGGATGAGGATGAATTTGTGTTACTGATGTTTCACACAGATATAATACACTAATGAAAATTTCCATTAATGAAAAACAAAAGTATCAAAAAGTACTGGGCAAGTTTGTTTTTTACATATCCCATTTTCCTGAGTTTGGTATCACTTAACAAAATGTAGGTGTGCATTATATATAAACAACTTCATCACTATAAAATTTAAACTCAACGAAGAGTATTTGTGCATTGTGGACAACTAAAACTTCATAGCAGATACTGAATGAGTCTTGTTTCCTTTGTTGTACAGCTGTTCTGAAGGACTTTTTCTGTGCTGGCCTCCTTAGACCTGCTTGTAAATTCTCTCCTGGTGTCAGACCATCTGCAGATTGAACTTCTGTGATTTGTTTTTTTCCCCCTGTAGCAAACGCATACAGGGACTCCAGCGACGGGGACTGTGAGCACCATAGAGATTGAAGCTTTTAAGAGACAGCAGCAGGCCCTTGCACCAGCAGGTATGTTCCACAGGCACCATTCCACTTCCATCCTCTTTTTTTTCCAAACAGTGATTGGAGCCCACTGTTCAAAAATACATTTTTGCCTCACCTTGGGAATCACCGGATCCTTAGGATTATCTACTGTGACTGGTGCTGTGGGAAGCGTGCACTCCACTCCCAGTAGATAGGCCTGGATTTGGCAGGCATGGAGACATGGTTAGGTTGATTATTCTGGCTGAGAAGATTGGAGATGGCCAAGTTGAAGTCAGAGGGACTCCGCCCCTGGAGCATGTTCTTCATAAATGCTACACATGTACAGGAGTTGTAGCTTTCAGAGCTGATGGTGGAATCATGTGTAGTAGTTTGCTTTGTAAAATTGAAACCATTCCATTATACCATGCCATAAATGGAATTTGAATATCACAGATTCGTCTAAGAGACCACGAATTGAAGTGGGCCGTCATGGGATGGTTTTTCAGCACCCGGGTGTGGCTTCAGGAGTTCCTCTTCAACAGCTAATGCCAACTGCACAAGGTACTGTGTCACCACATGCCAGTTGCACATTAATTTCACAAGGAGATGTTGGTGATGGAACTAGAAACTTGGACTTCCAGCCTGCCAAGATCCTAGTCCCACCACACACTTCTCCATGTAAATTAATACTTGGTATGCAATGCCTGGTTTGTTTAAGGAGCTGAGTGACGGGCTCCAAAGGTGCATGTGGGCATGGAAATACGTCACAGGTGCTGATGCAAAATGGCCAATCTGAGAATTCTGGAACTGAACCAATGATTTGTGAAAAGGAAACCATCTAATTGGAACATCATGACAAATTTTTATTCATTAGTCATGCCGAGCTTTAGAATATGTGTTAGAGTGAATGTGTTCTTAGAAAGAACTAAGTAGTATTTAGACTTCATGCTGGTATTTTAGGTTAAATTCCATTAGTTCACCAGTCCTTTTTTTTTTTTGAGTGTACAAAATTTAGAAGACCTATAATGACATGCTCTTTTTTTAGTTGCTGTGCTCCAAATTTTAGTTACAGTCCTGTGCATGAAGTACTTCATTGTGTATTGTAATGGTGATTTATTTTGTGATTGTGATGTGGTATTTTCAAGTGATGGTGTCTTGTGGCAAAGTAAGTAACAAAACCACTCTATTCGCAGTCCATTTCCTCCTTAAATCAACAGAGAGCATCGGACATTTTAATCTCACCTGCACGTGTCTCCTCTTGCCCTGCAGGTGGGATGCCGCCCACTCCGCAGCCGGTGCAGCTGACGGGGCAGAAGCAGAGCCAGCAGCAGTACGACCCCTCCAAGGGCCCTCCGGTGCAGAACGCGGCCAGCCTGCACACGCCGCCGCCGCAGCTGCCGGCACGCCTGCAGCCCGCCAACGTCCCCATGGCCTCGCTGCCCGCCGCCCTGCAGCTCCCACAGCAGCAGCCTCAGCTCGTGGAGCCTCCAGCCCAGCCGCAGATCCAGGTGAAGATCCAGCCCCAGAGCGTGCCCCTGACGGCCGCTCCGCTGCCAGCGCCGCTGCAGCAGCAGGTGCCACCGGCCATCCACGTGCAGGGACAGGCGCCCAGCCAAGTGTCGCAGCCGCAAGCTGCCATACAGCAGCAGGTACGGGAGCGGTACGGGGTGGACATGGGTTTGTTCCGTGGCCAGTAAAACCTAAGAATGCTGTCTTCATCTCTTAATTCCACTGGACACTTAAATCCTTTCCTTGTAAAAGTGCAGGTGGACATTTGTTATTCAGTTAAAGCCTCTGTTATGTTCTGCTGTAATGTAGACTAAGTATTGAATCCTCAACTCATCAGTAACCAGTGTGTTTCTTGGGCAGACTGTGACTCTGACACGACCATCTGCAGATCCTGCTCAGAGTTCTCAGCGTCTTGCAGCAAATCCACTGCCACCTACCTCATCCATCGCTCCAGCAGCGATCCCAGGCACAACACCGCCTTCTCCATACCCATTGCAAACAAACAGGACCTCTCCAGCAACCAACAAGTCCCTGTCTCCTATTGCATCCAAGCCTCCTGGCTTAGCAGTAGCAGCAGCAGCACCTAAAACACAAAGTCCAGCTCAGAATGCAGCAGTGTTGCCACAGGAAAACTCTCAAGACAAGCTGGCTGAGCAAGTCAAGCTGGTAAGATATTTTATGTATGATGCTTTTACACATTTTCTTTTCCTGTGAATTAATTTATAAATTGGGAACTATTACTATTTTTCTTTGATTCTGTGACTTCAGGTGCATTCTGCAGCTTCCCTGTAAGTCTCTGTACTTCTTTTTAGGAAAATCAAATCCACCAGCGGATAGCAGAACTGAGAAAGGAAGGTTTATGGTCCCCCAGGCGACTGCCTAAACTCCAAGAGGCTCCAAGACCAAAATCCCACTGGGATTATTTGCTGGAAGAAATGCAGTGGATGGCAACTGATTTTGCCCAGGAGAGAAAGTGGAAGATGGCAACTGCTAAAAAGGTACTTGAAAACCATTTTATAACTCAGAGCAATAAATGTTGATATCACTCAGTTTGGTAGCAAAGCTATTGAGATATCTTTTGCTACAGATAGAAGCAAAGGAAAGATGAGGCACTAACTTTTACCTCAAATGAGAAGTTTTGTTGTCAGTTTTGGATATGGCACCTGAGACAGACTGGGTAATTGTACAGACTGTGGATGCAAGCAACAGTTTGTGGATTTTATTCCTCTGGAAATCAAATAGTTTTTTTAGGAGCCCACTCAATATGTTGACTGGGTTATATTTAAATAAAAAATGGAGTTGTAATGCCTGTCTCACAAATAACAAATGAGTTATTTCCAGCAATAAAGAGTACATACAGAATTTTGTAAATAACTTCCACTGGGTGTGGTTGTCTGTCTAGTTATTTTTTTCTTAATCTCACAGAAAACTAAGAGTAAAGACAGTAGTGGAAACATGGTAGAGATCTGTTTCCATAGGGGAAGAGAGCAGCACAGCAGGAACACAGTAGTGGAATGAAAATTTGTATGGTGTGAGATGAAATATATAAAATCTGTTAGTTTACAGTAAGCAAGGGTTTTCTATGGATATCAGCAATGTTGCATCTTTTTTTTTTTTTGATACATGTATGGCCAATTTAGGGTAATGAACAGAGCAACTGAAGGTCATTAGTTTACATTGCCGTGTTGTTTTCTACTGTATATTCTGAAATTATGGAAACTCAGAAGCAAAGTATTGAAATAATTGTATTGTTTTGTACAATAAGTATCTTCATTTTGAATATAATTTAAATCTGGATTTCCATTTGTGGCCAATGGTAGGTTTTTAAGAATAGGAGAAACAGGAAGGGGAAATGTGAAAAGATCCTTCCCCTGGCACTTTGCTTCAAACTTCTGGAAGTCAATGTTTTAGGGACCTCCTGAGCTAAAGGTTGCAATCAAGTCAGTCTTAACAGCCATTGACTGATCTTTCACTCATGTATGTACACTCTTTTTGAACTCATTTGAGCTTTGGTCTCTGACATTTTGTGGTGTGATTTCTGTGACTTCATATGTGCTGTCTGAAAAAAAGGTTTTCTTTTGTGTTTGCTGCTAATTTCAGTGGATTTTTTTCTAATTTTTGTATTCATAGAGTGAATTAAGGGTTTCCTACTTGATTGCTTAGTTATAGTTGTATTTTTTTTTTCTTTGAGTTTTTTGTCTGTTGCTTTACTGGCATGGTAAGAATTAGAAATATTGGAGGTAAGTGCTATGTGTGTAAAGCTGTGGTCAACATCTGGCTGCTGATAACCACTATAATCTTAAGAAATGCAATTACATGTATTTTGAGGTAGCCTAATTCAGTATTTCATGGTATTTTAGATGGTAAGAACTGTGGCTCGTTACCATGAAGAAAAGAAACTCAATGAAGAGCGAGCTAAAAGGGAGGAACAGAACAAACTGAGGAGGATTGCAGCATCCATTGCTAGAGAAATAGAGTATTTCTGGTCTAACATAGAGCAGGTAAAGTACTCACTCACTAAGACTTGTGCAATTTGTGGTGGTTTTTTCATCTTCAGAAATTAGTTTGTAAAATAAAAGTGATTTTATTATTTATTAGCCGTGCTTTATATTTCAGGTTGTTGAAATTAAACTGCAAATCGAATTTCAAGAGAAAAGGAAAAAAGCTTTGAATCTAAAGAGATTTTCAAGGAAAGGTAATTGTTTTCCATTTAATAAGAAACATAGTCTGAATTCTGATGATATTGTTTTATATAATATCACTCAGTGCAGGTTAATCTCATTGGTGGTAAAATTGTGAGTTGCTAATAATAGGTTGTGAATAGATCTGAGTAATGAGTTATGGGGTTTTATATTTTTTGTTAGATTTTGTTAATACTTCTTTGTGTTTTGCTTTGAATACATTTAAAAGTTCATGTGAGAAATGTAAAATTGCTAAGTGATGAATACATACCTCAAGTTTAATAATTTTTCAGGTAAGGATACAAAAGAAGACCTTTATTTGGAAAAAGAATGTGAAATGGTAAGTCTTTGATTTTTGAAACAGCCATCAAATTAATTTAAATGTGACTACCTATGTGAAAAAGTTTTGATAAAGGTGATTTTTAAAAAAAATATATGGTGATGATAAGATTTCACTAACAAATGAGCATTCAGTCACAAGCACAAGTATAATTTTTTCTTTTCTGGTTAGGTAGGGAAGTGGATTGTGGTTGATACATGTCTTTAGTGGCTGTGAATCATTCATTCTGAGATTGAAGACCAGAAAACTGTGCAAATTAATTGCCAGACTTGGGCAGGAGTTTCATGTACATTAGCCAGCGGTAGACTTTGTGGAGCATGAAATGTGTTTTCAGGTGTTCAGCAGAGATTTATCTGAGAGATGAAGGTGTATTTTACAGAATGGGTCAAACTGAATGAAACTTGGATATCTTTATCCCTGGATGAAATGTGTGCTAAGGACACCTTGGCTGTGTCTGTGCAATTGGAAAAAAATGGACAAGGGATCTGAGGCCCTGAGCCATCTGTTGTGGCACAGCTGATGCCCATGTGCTGAAATACTCCCCCTCCACCAAGCAGAACGTCTGCATCTGAATTTCCTGCTAGGAACAAACCTTAGCATGTGTTATCAGCCAAACTGTAGCCCAGCACTGGCTGTGAGATTTAATTGGCACAAGCTAAATAATTCTACAGAGTGCACTGGACAGCTGAGATTATTATAGGCCTGTGCCATATCCCTTTTTTATTGACTAGTGAAAAAATTCAGTGCTTGAGCCAGCCTGGCTAAAAGTTTTGTACCACAGCTGGACCTGAATAATTTGACCCATGAGCAGTGGAAGTGGCTGACTGCACAGTCCCATCAATTCAGAAGTAGAGTTGCTGTTTTGGCATGACCAGGGAAGTGCTAATAGGTGTTAAATGTATATCAGCAAATGCTTTTGGGACTGCAAAGTGTGTTTTGTTGTCTTTAAAAAAAAAACAAACAAAGCCCCCTGCTTATCTTTTGTTTTCTCTGATCTTAAATATTACAATTATTTAATGCTAGGGGGGTTCATCATCTGGAAGGAAAAGAAAGGCAAGCACGTCTTTGACTGACGAGGAAGGTAAGACACTTCCCAAAATTTTGCATCCATAGCATAGTACATAAGTTGAATATAAAACCCACAGGTTTTCAGTCTGTTACTGTGTGGGTGCAGTGCTTTTCATGAACCAAATACCAACCTTCATCTATTTCTTAGAGACATTAGATAGTCAGTTAAATAGTAAATCATCCCTTAAGGAGCTCCAGTGAAAATTTGAAAATAACATTTTCATTCAAATGGTACTGCTATCATTATTGATGGATTTTAATTCTTTCTCTCCTCATAACTTCATTTGTCAGATTTTACTAATGATCTTGAACTTCTTTTGAGGATTTTAGACTGAAATACCCATCTGCTTTGGGTCCTTTCTTGTTGGTGACCACTCTTGTCATGTTCCTGACAAAGGAACTCCCCTGTTCAAAGCTACAGAACAACCTGTGGTGAACATTGTCAATCAGCACTTAACTGCCTTCTGTCCTGAGGCAGAAGTGCTCCTCTCCTGTTAATTTTTCTTTTAAATACTGCATATAGTTGCTCTCAGATTATCTTGTATTCCAATACATATTTAATTCTTTTTAAATCCTACAGACTTGGAACATTCTGTGTTTACTTCAGGGGTATAGAATTACAAGCCTTCGGAATTATTGTATAATTTTAACCCAATATTTGCATTTGTTGACTTGCAGTTGAAGATGAAGAAGAAACAATTGAAGAACAAGAAGCTAAAGAAGGAAACATAAACCATCAAACTGAATTGTCTAATCTAGCCAAAGAAGGTAGGCACGTGGCTTGGTTCTTCTCTAGGCTGGGCTCCGAAACAACAGCTGGAAACACACAACACTTGTTATATTTCTAAAGAGGATTAGAGGTAGGAGATTGAGTGCATTCAGATGTTCAGTCCTGTGTAGTCTGTGTTTAGTTTTTTCTGTTTGGAAAGCTGCAGCAGTTTAAGGGATGATGATGGACATCTACACTTTATAAAGCAGTCCTAGTTATCACACAAGGTGGCTTGAGAAAAAGTAGTTCTCTAGTGAAGCACTGCATTAAAACCTTACACCAAGACTCTCAACCCAAGTTTTAGGAGTGCATGATAAACATTTAACACCAGGGTTGTACCAGATTGAACATGGACATTTTATCAGCTGTCTGGAGTATCCCAGAAGGGTTTTGTGACTGACTTGGTAGGTTCAAAAGGGCACTTAAGTGCTGATCTTAAGGGAGGGTATAAATATTTGAAGATAAGGTGCTTTTAGGGACAGTGTTCTGGCTAGCAGCTCTCTCTGATTAGCAGTTTAATTGCTATGCTGAGCTTGATGTGTGCAAAGTACCCCACAGAGTGTGTCACTTACTCTGGTAAAAGCGGATTTTTAGAGGCAAGGCTGCCCATTAGGCTGAGCGTGCGTGGCGATGAACACGCGGTTTCCAGATCTGTTTGGCAGCTTAGTGACTGCACTCAACTGGCCAGTTGGAGGGATTATAAGCCTTGGCTAGTCAGCCAAATTTCTAATGAGAATGTTTGCTGATTGATTGGCCACTGCCAGCATATACATTCCTACTTTAACAGCTCAGACAAGGGATGCTGGAATTACAGCTCAGTTTTGAAACTTTTGAAGTCTTGCATTGTCTTCCAACCACTCAGCTGCATTTGATGCCCCTGCCTTCCTAAATGGGGATTTACTGGGGGTTGTAGGGGGTGTTGGTAATACAGTAAAAAGCAGGGTATGGGAGGAGACTGCTTGGTGTAGTGCCAAGTGTTCTCTGTAATCAAGGTTATTAAATAAATAGTGCCGTCATTCCCTTAATAATTATCTCTGAAATTGACTTCTGGTTAGAAAACTGGATTTATGCAATTGTGAAGAATGTAATGAGATTATAATTAATAGTATCTGTTGTTCCAAGTTTCAATATTTTTAAATTTCCATCCTTTAATGACCTTCAGCTGAATTGCCTCTGGAAGATTTGGTAAAGATGTATGAAGGTGCCTTTGCAGAAAATTTTCACTGGCCCCAGCCAAAGCCTGACAGTGAAGAGGAGAGCAGTGAGGAAGGTAAATTACTCTATGTTTAGGAGTTGTGCTGATTTACCTGGTAAAATAAGTTACTTGGCTCTTCAGGACTCTCTGAAAAGACATTTTGTTCCAGGGGAAAACACACCTTGAGTGAATCATATTTAAAATTTCTCAGTTTGTGAAAAGAGGGCAGTGTTTGCCTGTCCTAAAGTAAAGATGTGTGAGATTTTCAAGAACAGTAGTGAGCCATAGAAAAGCCTCTCTACACTGAATTAAACAGCACACTTCATAGGTAGCTATAATTACACCTCTGTTCTATGCTAACATGAAGATAGTTACATACTTGAAGTTAGATTTTAAATAGGGTGAGAGGACCACCCTAGAAGTTGTGGAAAGCTAATGGTCATGTTAGCCTAGCTAGTGTGAATGTCCACAACATGTACATGAACCTGAGCTTAGGCTGTTTGCATTTTACCTGAACTAGCTTGATAATCATAGAAATGCTTTTAAAAGTTACCTACCTCCTTTAGACCTGTGTCTGAATCCTGGTTATCTGAGTTCCTTTGTGTTACTGCTACTGAAATTTATTTTAGGTACCACTGCAATTTTTCTCTCTCTCCTAGAAATGGAAGACCACATGTCTGATAGGGAAAGTCCCCAGAAAGAAGTTGTCCTCATAGACTCCCTTCTCAGCATTGACCAGTACAAGAGCATGGACAGGTCGAGTCCTCCCAAGAAGCACATGAGAGACATAGCAGAAGTGGCTGCTGCAGCAGAGATGTTGTTACCTAAAGGCAGCTCCAGGATAACAACAGCAGTAAGAATCCCTATTTTTTGCTACTCTGTATGCTGATGTTTATATAAAGAATGATTTTTTCTTCATTATTTGTAGCTTTTAGTATGAAATTGTTTTTTTTTTTTTTTGAGTAACCTAAAGAATGTTTATGTTTTATGCCATGCTCTGTGAATTTAACTCAGGAAAGAATATAAAATTATTCACATTACAGATAAAGTACAACACTCCATCACTGTTGTATGGGTCTCTCAGAGAATATCAGAAGATTGGGCTGGATTGGCTGGCAAAGCTGTACAGGAAGAATCTCAATGGCATCCTGGCAGATGAGGCAGGGCTTGGAAAAACAGTGCAAATTATTGCCTTTTTTGCCCATTTGGCTTGTAATGAAGGTAAGTTCATTTGGCTAACGGTTTTAGACAGGTACTGGGCCAGCATTATCTTTGTGAATTGTAGCCTTGGGTCACTTTTTTTTCCTTACTGACCTATATCAGATTTTAGTTAATGATAGGAGTAAGATTGTGTCAGAATAACTTTCTGATATTTTGTGACATAAGGGTATTGTCTAGTCAAGTATACTGTCTGATCAACCTATTATCATCTAGAGATTCTTCTGAATATTTCTAAATTCTTACAGAAAAGTACAGAAAAGCCTTAAAAATTGTTTAATGACTAGGAGTAGATTAGTAATTAAAATGCCTCTGTTTGTTGTTATTTGATCTCACTTCTAATGATTAATTTAGTGCAATAGACATAAAAAATCAAGGTAGAATATAAGCCACATGCCTTGTAAGGAGTCTCCTTCCAGTGTTAAGTGCTGTGTTTCCCCTTCTGTAGGGAACTGGGGCCCTCACCTTGTTGTTGTCCGGAGCTGTAACATATTGAAGTGGGAGCTGGAATTGAAACGCTGGTGCCCAGGGTTGAAAATACTTCTCTACTTTGGGAGCCAAAGAGAACTTAGGGCAAAAAGACAGGTGCTGTATTGTGCAACTCTTACACTGTTGCCTGAGACATATAGCCTGTATATATCTGTCTTATTTTTCTTTTTTTAATGAAGAAGTCGATTTAATGAAGATAATTGAGAGTTCTGCCTTTTCTGTCTCATCTTTTCTATCTTTTTCCATAGGAATGGACAGAACCCAACAGCTTCAATGTGTGCATCACTTCCTACAAGCAGCTGTTCAAAGGCCACCCAGCATTCATGAAAATGCGATGGAAATACTTAATAGTAGATGAGATGCAGCAAATAAAGAATATGACTGAGAAACACTGGGAGGCAATTTTCAGTCTCCGCAGGTACAGAGCAGAGAATTGATTTCCTGCTGGCAGGGAGTTTTTCTCTTTTCATGTCACACAGTTCTCTTCTTAACAGGAAACTTGATTAAAAAAGCCCTCTTGACTTGGTGTGCCCAAATTCCTGAGCAATGTACACCTATAAGAAAAGTGCTTTTATTTGAAACAATCAGGATTCAGAGAAATGCTTGAGATCTTTCTGTTTCCACTATCATATCACTGTAATTCTTCTTTGCTGATATTCTATGCCCCGAAACAGATTCCCTTTTATGTTCTGATACTCTGCGATGAAGAAACTATTTGGTGGTATATTCGAGATTGAAAAGATACTTTATTCTAGGTTTAATTTTATTATATCTACATAATTCTTCTGTGTATCTGACAAACATAAAGACATAGTAATCAGTCCATTTAAAATCTTCTTTTATTCACAGCCAGCATCGTTTGCTTCTGATAGACACTCCTTTGCATAACACATTGATGGAGCTGTGGACCATGGTACATTTTTTGATTCCGGGAATTTCCAGACCTTACCTGGATTTTCCGGTAAAAGCACCTAATGAGGAGAACCAGGATTATTGCCATAAACTGGTCATCAGGCTGCACAGAGTATGTTGGAATTTTTTCTCATGTGTCCTACTACAGGAGTAATGCTGTTGGGGGTGGGGGGATAAAAATATGTGGTTCAGATCAGAATTTGTGTCTTTTCTTAACACTTTCTTCAGTTTAGACAGAAAATCGTGCTGAAAGCAGAGGGTTCTGCTACCAGAAGAGTGTGGAGATTTCTTTTAAAAATAATACAAAGCTCAGATTTTGAAACATGACATGCAGAAATTAAAGAGCAAATTAATGTCTATACGAATGTGTGCATAGAAGAATGATATATAGCATATGCAGTTGATCGCATCAAATCTGTTAGGTGTGAGTAAGTTTAGCTTCCTGTTGTAAAATCTTTGAAGTGAGAATTTTTTCCTCTCAATTCTGAAACGTTTCAGATGATTCAGCCATTTATTTTGCGGAGATCAAAGAGGGATGTTGAAAAGCAGCTCACAAAGAAGTATGAACACGTGCTCAAGTGCCGTCTGTCTAGTCGACAAAAAGCCATGTATGAGGATGTCATATTGCAACCAGGGTAAGGGCTTGAAACAGTAAAGATAAAATGCTGTCACTTTTAGTGCTTAAGCAAGGAAAAAATATGATTGTTGTGGGGGGAAGTGTTTTAGTGTTTCTCTGAAATTTTTCATGATAACCCGTGAATAAATTATGATTGCATTATAGACTGGAATTACAGCAGGTGATGTGATTTTATGGTGTTTCATGCTGATGTGATAAACGTGCATTTACCTCTGGAACCTAAGAATCCTGTTATGATGGTCAGGTCTTCTGCTGCGTTGTTTTAACATTTGTCGCTAATGAGTGGTTTATTGAGTGGTTCTTAATTTTTTTAAAGCCGAGATTTTTTTCTCACCACCCCCCTACCAGTGGTAATTGATAGGTGCAGGGGTGAAACAGAAACAAACCAGGGAGAGGATGGGGAACTGGGTAGGTTGTATTTGATGGTAAGGCAGCACTGGGTCTTTAAGTTTCACTTTTCCAAATTTACTTTTGGTACAGTGCTGCTTAGAATACTACAGAAGACCTTGGTGAAATCTAAACTTGTTCTAAGACTTTTGCATTGTTCTAAGACATACTGCATTGCTCATTCTCACCTTGCTGATTTAGGGACACCTCCATGAAAGCTGTGCATGAATCAATGTCTTTCTGTATAATTTATCTGGTAGAACCCAGGAAGCCCTCAAAAGTGGACACTTCATCAGTGTCCTGCATGTCCTGATGCAGCTGCAGCGGATCTGTAACCACCCTGATCTGATAAACCCTCGGCTTTCAAGCTCCTCTTATGTATCAGAAACACTGGAATACAGAACAGCCTCTCTGGTGCTGCGAGCCCTGGAAAGGGATATTTGGAAGGTCAGTAGAAATGTTAAGTTTTTTTTTCTCTCTTAATACCCTGGCAGAATTTCAGTACTTACTATTGTTTTGTTATATGTGATAAATCTACCTGAAGTTTATAAATAGAAGGAATTCACTCTTCCGTAACTATGGCTACCAAATGTGCTCTTGCTGCATATCTTTTTTTGTCATAGTGGCTTCAACTTTTTAAGTGGTTTCTAAACAGTAATTTTTCATGAACTGCTTGGTCAAAGAGAAATTACCTTTGCTTTTGTCATGCTCATGTTTGCAGGTATTTTCCAACACTGAAGTCACTCTGGGTAGCACTGTGCTTATTTATGGCATTCTGCAATTTTCTTGTTGCTTTTACTAGCTGAAGGAAACCGAGACTTATTCTTTTTCACATAACAGTAAACATTCTGTTACAATGACTAAATTAGTACCCTAGTGTCAATCCAGTTGAAGTACCTATTTCTGTTATTGTTAAACAAGTGATCCCACTCCTTGACATGATAAAAAAAATATAAAAGAAGTCTGAGTAATGGAGCAGCTGACATTTTTTGTTTAATTTTATTTCCATACTTATTTTTCTACTCCTAAGTTATAGCTTGGCATTTAAACTTGATAGTTAACCTTCAAAGAGTTCTTTTTAATTCTTTGGAAATTATGATATATGAAGAATTGTTACATGTGTTTTGCTTTGATTTCCATAACAGGCTAATGATTTCAGTTCTTTTTCTTCTAGTGCTTAAAATGGGACTGTCAGTTTATTTCCAAAGTTTCTAGACAGTTTTGGCTAGTAGTTAATAGTTTCTTTCTTAAACTTACACCATTTATTTCAAGTTAAAAAGTAAATATGTAGAAATTTAATTCATCATTGAATGTAAAGAGGACTTAACTGTTTGGGTCATTACATAAAACAATTTTCTGAAATCCCTAGGAGTCGGACCTGTCTCTTTTTGATCTCATTGGAATGGAAGACAAAATGACTCATTATGAAGCACAAATGTTGCCAAAACAAAAGGTTACTAGAAAGTTGATTGAAGAAATCTACAGCTCCCCTCCACCACCGGCGAGGCCCAACCCAGTGAAGCTCAAACCAAGCAGGTGTGTACACCTATACTCCTTCTAAGCTAGCAAACGGTGACTCTGCTGCAATTTTCACTGAGTTATCTCTGCATCTCTGCTAATGGGATTCACATAAAACCTCAGACTTACCTTTGCCTTTAATTATTCTCTTGCATTCATGTTTACCTCTGAAAATAAGAATTCTGTTCTTTGAGGCATACAATTCCATTTGGAGTTTGTTGGTGGATTTCCCATAGTCTTTACTTCAGCAGCAAATGAACTTTGTTCTTGGACCTTGTTTATGGCAATTGAGTGTTGTTTTGCAGAAACAGCATGAGGATAATTCAAGACTAAGTTGGGCCTGCAGTGTCAGCTATTTGCTCACTGTTATAGCAGAGACAAAGGAAGTTTTATAGCAGTACATTTTTTAAAAGTATTTTTCTTCTAGTGAAGTACTGTTCTCAAAGTAATATAGAACAGTTTTGGTAATGCAAGAGAGCTTCCTGATGACCTGCAGCATGTTGTTGTCTCTCTGGAGATTATATGGGAACCCTTTCTTTCAGATGTCTTCAGATACATCTTTTCCCAGATACTGACCTAGCCTTTTTAAGATGTTTGCTGTAATTCTGAAGCATCCTGCATTAAACTGGGGATATGGCAATGAAAGTTTTTTTCTTGGATTCAGCAAAATCACTTTCTACAATGTTCACTCAGGAAGCTTGTGAAGTGATGAGTCTTGCCAGCTACAGCCATCTGCAGGAAGATCAGCGTCTGACATGATCAGTTTAAATGTTCTTGGGGTGACAGAGTTTACTTCTAAAGGCCAGACTATGATCTTCCTATAGATTTTGACTTGTCCTGCTCTTGCCAGGTTGTTCCAGCCCGTTCAGTACGGTCAGAAGCCCGAGGGCAGGACTGTAGTTTTCCCAAGCACTCAAGTCCAGCGCACGGTGACCACAGCGACAGTGACTCAGCAGGGACAAGTTCGAGGCAGATCCCCCATAGCCACGGTGTCCTCAAATCAAGGTAAGGGACTCAGTGCCACCCTGGTCACCTGCACCTCAGCATAGACAGATACAAGTTAGTCTGTTTAATAGAACTCCTTTTCCCTCTAGCTTATTGGTCTAGAATACTAATGGCTTAAAAGTACCAACAGACTAATTGCCAGTAAAATTCCCCACTAGTTTCTCCAGTATGATCTGCCAGTATAATGCAAAACTAAGCTTTGTGTAACCTGTTAGCATATGGAGTAAATATGCCACAGTTGATATTTAAACCCCGAAGATGTGTAATGTTCTGCCAAAGATGGGAATGTACAGCACTTCTCTGTATTTATTTAGCCTTTAAACAATGCTTTCCAAATAGATAATGTAAAACTAGGATGGAGTAAGAGGTGTGGCTAGAAATCCCGGTGTGTAAGGACAAAGGCATTCTTGTAGCCGTTTGATTATCCTGTTGGAAGGTTTCTTTTTAATGCAGGTTGTTTAAAAGAGCCGAGTTAAAACCTCTAACAGCTTGCACAAACAACCCTTATTGATTGCAGCTGCAGCAGCACAGTTTCAGACAACTCAGGCTTCCACCAGTGCTCCAAGACACCAGCCCGCAGCGACCTTCACCACAGCAACTAGCGCAGCCAACCCTGTGAAACCGCGGGGCCAGACCTCTGCGCCGGCCCCGCAGCCGGGCCAGCCCCAGCCACAGCCACAGCCCCCCCCGCACACCATCCAACAGAGTGTGCTGCCTCAGAGGCTCGTACTGACCTCTCAGGCCCAGGCACGGTTGCCTAGTAAGTGGCCTCCCCTTTCAAGGTTTCTCCCACCTTTGTACTCAAATGAGGTTAAGTTACTAGGCACCCTAAGATGTGTACAGAATCGTTGTTTTTTTTTCACTCTTCTGATTAGCCTTGCTCAGTACGTTGCTTATGACCAAGGAAAATCGAAAATTGGATAAGAAACAATAGAATTGCTGTGGACATACATTAGCGGTGTCAACTTAATCTCCTATTTCTGCATGTTTCTTCTGCTGGCAAGACTTCCTTCAGACCAAATGTTTTAGCTCTCTCCTAATTATTCCTTTCATGTTAAACACTAATCCATCTGCTAAAGGCCTCTCTGGCGGAGAGGAGCGTCGCCACTGTTAGGCAGAGAAAAGTGATGAGGCTTTGCTTTAAGGTTGTATGTGCACTGCCTATTAGCATGTGTAGAGAGTACTGAGCACTGATGTATTAATTTTATCTCTGGGGTAATGCACTGCCTTTACAAAAGCTGAATTTTCACACCAGTATTTTCTCAATATCATAAAACTTAATGCTGAAATGCCTCTAAAGTTTCTGCATTTAAATCTCAAAAAGCTTGGTCCTTGCCACTTCAAAGCTTTTTGGTTTGTCTTAATGCAGATTGCTTAAAATAAATCATGTTTCATCAGCAAATTTCGAATGTGTACTTAATGTGCCACACATAGGAATATTTAAATTTCTTCCTTAAACCTTCCTTCATGCTCTTGAAAAGGCAGTGAAAATCACTTTAATGTCTATACTTGTTCTGTTGCAAAGTGTCACATGAGTTTTCAGGTAGCTCTTAACTTTTTTGCTAATGAAAGTGGTAATTTCTAAAATGTTGATGTTCTTACCCTTTAAACAATCAGCTTCTTTCCAGTTTGTCCAACAAATATAGAAAGCAATACCTGCTTAACTTTTATATGACACTTTTGATGCACTAAGTATAATTATGCATGGAAGGCGCTTCAGCACCAGTTTACTAACCAAAATGTAGAATTGTGAATATTGAACAACTCGCCTCCTACCTTTGATTTTTTTTAATGCCTCTTTCCCTCCTTAACAGGTGGTGAGGTAGTAAAAATAGCCCAGCTGGCTTCTATAGCAGGAGCACAAGGCAGGATTGCTCAGCCAGAGACCCCAGTGACTCTGCAGTTCCAAGGGAACAAGTTCACCTTGTCACACAGTCAACTCCGCCAGCTCACTGCAGGGCAGCCCCTGCAGCTACAAGGTACTTCTTTCAACAAAGGAAATTTTCCATCAGAATGCTCATGTTTTCATATGGGCACCATGTTCCTTGTTGCTGGAGATTTTTCCATCCCCAGTGTTTATACTGTCCTGCTCTTCCTATTTTCTGTGAGCCTAGGTAGCTCTGGATTGAAAAATAAATGCCTATCCAATGAAAGACATGGTTACTGTATTATATTTCAAAAATGTTATTCTTTGATTTGTTTTCGCACCCATTCAGTGCAGCTAAAGTAAGGTGAGTCATTATTTGACAAAAATAATTGTCAATAACTCTCTGCTGAGCAGAAACAGAAAAACTGAGAGCATTCTTGGTTTATTCTGAAATTGTGTGAATAATACTTCAAGATTGGCATGCTTCTGAATTTTGGCCCAATTATTGTTCTTGTCTGAATGCTCTACCTACACTATATTTTGTTCTCAAGTCTCCCTGGCTGGTGGTGTGTATTGCTAAATTTAGGAGAACCAACATATCTTGATTCTCAGTGGCAAATTAAATAGAGGGAATGTTAAATGAAGACTTTCTGTTTGATTGCATTTTGTCCAAATTCTGTATAAACACCTAGATTAGAATGATACCCCATGAAACTCCTCTTCAGCTGTTAATACTTGGGTGTTTCCCTCATTTTTGGCAGATTGGTCTAATGAACATATCTGGTAAAATTTAACATAGTTTGAAACAGTAATGATCAGCTTGCAATACTAATAGATTTTACTCCAGAACACGAATTCTTTTCCACTCTAATGTGTGTTAAAATCCTCCACTGCAGGAAGTGTCCTTCAGATTGTGTCAGCCCCTGGGCAGCAGTACCTGAGGCCTCAGGGCCCCGTGGTCATGCAGACGGTTTCCCAGGCAGGAACTGTGCAGAACGCCCTGAACGCTCTAGGAAACCAGCACCAGGCAGGTGGCCCAACTTCCACTGCAGTCACACAGCAAGGTGGGTTTTCCAGCCTGAAGAAATGTCTCTGTCTAAATATTCAATTGCTAAAATCACATTCGTATATAATTCCAAATTGCTGCAGATCATAATTCTGTAATTAGCTCAGAAGAGGGTAAACTATGAGGCAAATCTTTGCAGTTTGTATTTGGTGTGTGCTGGAGTTTTAAGAAAATTTTTAGTACAAACTTTGGACAGTGTGTAACTTAATTATAGATTTTATTTTTAATGGTTTCAGCTTTGGTCAAATTTTTTGAGAAGTAGTAAATTTGAAATACTCGGTTAATTTTTGCAAGGAAAAATCAAGGGTGATAATTTTTTATACTGGCAGAGAATGTCCAGTTATTCCCTCAATTTTTCCACATTGATTTTGCTTTTATCTAATTTCTTTAACTTCTCCAGCTGATCAAGCTACAGTTTTCCATTTCCCTCTGCAAATGTTGCTTAGATATTTGGTGCCTTGCTGTAAATGTGATCAGTTCCTTGTTTAAAAACACAACCAAGATGTTGATCAAAAATAATGGAGAAATTAATGCATTTACAACAAAACAGCAGATTATTAAATGAAGATAAATATAACACTAGGAGTTCATTCCCTGAAAATGGCCATCTGCTGTAATTTTCATGGGATATAAAAAACCATTCCTTCAAAATGGTGTGATGCTCTTACAGCATAGTTAACTGTCTGGGTAAATATCTGCTAACAGTTGAAATCACCAAAATGCTACTGAGATTCCATCATATGATTTCACCAATTTCTAGGCATGCTCATCTGATGTGTTTTCTGAAAAATCTTAGATGATTTGCTCAAGATGAGTTAAAACAATCTTTTCCTGAATTAGAACATTTTCTATTTTCTATTGTGTTCATATTAACATTTTCTGAATGTCAATATGTATTGCACTATATGTGACATTTTTAATAAAATACAAATGGAGCACAGCACTTTGCTTTGTACAAAGCAAAGTAAAATTCCATTGGTCTATCTTGGATTTTTGTGAGAACACTTAGTGTGAATATCTGTCAGAGACCTGATGTATAACAAAGTACAAATTTGCAATCCTCAATGGACATTTAGACTTAAAATTTGCAGCAATGATCTCTTACAGCTATGGAATGTCTACTTATTGAAAATTATAAAGAGACCAATTCTCAGATGAATAAATATATAAACACAAGGTTTATCCTCAGTTTGTATTCCAGGTAGAGCTACAGTTACTAACTTGCCTTCTGGAGACATGGGAGCAGTGTTAAAACCAGCACCTTTGCATGGACAGTCACAGGTACTCGATTTTTATTTTCTTGTGGAAACACCACTTTTCAGAATCAGTAGTAAATCTGTGTAATAATTGAAAGCTATAATATACAAAGCTGGAATTAATTAGGGACTTTGATGATTATAGAGTACATAAATATACCAACTTCTGTCCATGTTTCAGGTTGACAGATCTGATGCATTTGTAATCTATAGATAAAATAATCTGGTATAAAAGGGCAGCTGACAGCTTTCTTGTGCTGTGATAGACAGGTTCTTTTAACTGTAATATATTTTAATTATAGAGTAATGCATAAATAAAGAAATCCTGCAGGTTTTGTGCTTTGAACACAATGGCAGTTGGGCAAATTTTTATAGATATCTAATCTTAGGTTTTTGGATAGGGTATTCAAGCAATTTACAAAGTGTAGGGAAACATCAAGAATCTATCAAAAGCTATGAAAATGCACCTTTAAAAAGCAAGAAGATACTAAAGTAGAATTGACTCTTTAATAGGAACTGAATTCAGCTGTAGTCTTCAGATTTTATCTGAAATGCATACCTTTAATAATTGGTCTAAATAGTAATTGTACTCTAGGATCTACACTCTTATCCTGACAGTTTCACTCTAAAGAATCCCTCATTTATGAATATTGTGATGAGCAGCAAATGTGGTTTTCATTCACCTTCTCTTGGCAAAGGAGACGTTTGAGGAGAAGAACCGGCTCTTGAAGGAGCGCCTGGACAGGATCTTCTGCGGCAACGAGCGCCGCTGCGCGCGGGCGCCGGTGTACGGCCGGGACGTGCTGAGCGTTTGCTCCCTGGCTGGGGACACAAAGGCCTCCCAGCTGCCTTCCAGTGAGGGCAACAGCTGGAGGTGGGCTGGCTTTGTCAACTGCTGCCTTTCCTCAAGTGCCTGCGGAGGCCCAAGTAACCCCTTGCAGGAAATGATCCTGGGCTTGGTTCAGCAGCAGGAATCTCTGAAGGATCTTGTTAACAGGTAATGTGTGTGACCCTGCCTAACAAGCCTTTGCACATCTAGTTGTTTCTAAAACACTTTTCAAAAAGGCTTAAAACCTTGTTTCTGTTGATGAGCTTATTTGGTTTAGACTGGTTTATTTAGCAGTAAATGATGTGCAACACGGAAGTAAAAATAAGTCACTTATTTATAAAGTGTTTTCAATGCCTCTTTCCTAATTTTAAGCCCAATTTCAGCTGACCATACTTAGGCTTACGTTCTTATGCTATTGGATTTACTTGAATAGGTACCACTTGGACCCAGCTAACAAGAGTTAAGACCCAGAGATGCAGGCAGAAGCTGGTTTAGCTAAGACTGAGTTTCGTTGCTGTGCCTATGGTTATTGATGATCATTTTGTGTGTAGCTTTTTAAATCAGTATTGCCTTGTTTTGGTGCTTTTCACAGGGCTCTCTTCGTGTTGCCAGCTGCAGTTGCTGCTCCCCCATGTTTCTATGTAGCAAATCCTCCCCCTTCATATAGTCACAGACTGAAACTCCTTAAACACAGCCTGAGGCAGAAGGCAGCTCCACACTTGCATCAGTTGCAACAACTGACCACTCCTCACTTGCTGCAGTTCCCTGACCTCCGGCTGGTGCAGTATGACTCAGGTAAAGGATATTTGCAGACAAGATTTCAGTAATTTCCTCTATCACATGAATGGAATTTCTATATAAAACCATTATTGTTTTTTCTGTTTGAATTATAGGGAAATTAGAAGCTCTTGCTGTCTTGCTTCAGAAGTTGAAATCTGAAGGGCGCCGTGTGCTGATTTTGTCACAGATGATTCTGATGCTGGACATACTGGAGTTGTTCCTGAATTTCCATTTCCTCACCTTTGTGAGGATTGATGAATATGCCAACCAGGAACAACGGCAGGTAAGTGTGCCCTGCCAGCTACTCACTGGTACCAGGCTTTTATACACTACAGCAGAGAAAGGAAATTTGCCTCATTTTGTATTCAGTTTGATGTATGTTAATCCCTTGTTTATTAGGCTATAGTGAATCTGGTTTGGTATTTTATTTTGGTGTGCATTTTATTTAGTCCTTGCTTTTATTCTGTTTATGTAGGAGCTGATGAAAATTTTCAACAGAGACAAGCGCATTTTCTGTGCCATCCTCTCCTCTCACAGCCGTTCCACAGGAGTCAATCTTGTTGAGGCAGACACTGTTGTCTTCTATGACAATGATCTGAACCCAGTGATGGATGCAAAAGCTCAGGAATGGTGTGACAGAATTGGGAGATGTAAAGATATCCATATATACAGGTGATGGTGACAGTCAATATCTGCTCTTTAACATGTTTTAATGTGAGGTTTTTTCAGATAGTGCTGCCCTGGATGATCTGGAATAAAGTGGAAACAGTGCTGAAAACCACTTCCCTTCAATGAAAAAGATGCCAGGGTATCCTATGAAAAAGTGGGGGGTTTAATGCCAAATGTAGGAAATGAATCATACCTGCACGGGTTTTGTCTGTTAGTCTACATGGAGATTTTTAAGAGATCTTTTTCATTGTTGATTTCAGGTTTCTTTTTTTCTTTAATTACAGAAATTATTAGAAGACAGCTCTAAAGTAAAAGTGATAGTGTATTTTTTTATGGGCCTGCACCATAACTAAAAAAACTCCCACATACTACCACATTTTAAGCGTTTAGTAGAATTCTTTAAGGACAGTTTGTATTTTTGTTTTTGAAAGCTGGTTTGGAAATGACTTGCTTGATTTCTACGTTTTTTTTCCCTTTTTTTTAGGCTTGTCAGTGGTAATTCTGTAGAAGAGAAACTTTTGAAAAATGGCACAAAGGACTTGATCAGAGAAGTAGCTGCTCAGGGAAATGACTATTCAATGGCCTTTTTAACACAGGTAAGTTAATATTCAGAATGCATTGAAACACCCATGTTGCAGTTTTTAATAAATTCAAGCATCTGTGTTGGAGTGTTTAATAGCAGTTTAGTAGAAATCTGTCTAGGCTAGAATTAATGAGGAGGCATATTGGATTTCATGATTGCTTGAACTCTCAGTGTTGGGACCACATCCTTTCAGATATTGTCCATCTGTTTTGTTCTGTTATTTGTATAGTGATGCACAGACATCACCCATGACTCAATATATTGTGATTTCTTCACAAAATTCTGCAAAATTTTGCAGAACTTGTAAGGGTGAACGTCTCAACAGCTTTAAAAATGTGAAATAGGTTTGGATATTTAGAGAGATAGGCTCTGAATTGCTGCTCTGAAGATATGTGAGACAGTGACTGCATTGGTGAAGCCAGGCTATCCTGGCTGGCACTCCTGATGTAGAAAAAAAAAAGGATGCTCCCAAAAATTGAATGTATTTCTCTTTTTTCCTTCTATTTATGAAGCAAACAATTCAGGAATTGTTTGAGGTTCATTCTCCTATGGAGGATTCTGGATTTAGAGTGAAAGCAGAAGAATTTGTAGTACTTTCTCAAGAGCCGTCTCCAGCAGAAAATATTTCACCTAAAGTTGCAAGACCATTCATAGAGGTAATAATTAACACACACATTAAAAATACAGCTGTGCAACATCAGTATTAAACAACTAACTAATCCCATTTTATTTATGTTAATTCTGTCAGTGTCTTTTTCTTGTAGTTTTATGCTCTTTTGTCATTTGCCTTGTGACAAAACTTCCAAAAGCCCAAAGCTGAATTTTATAATTTCTGGGACTGTTTCTCTTGCTTGAGCAGAGACTTACTTCAGAAATTTGTGTTGCATTTCAGTGAACTCCTTATGGAGTTTCTTTCCATATTTTTGAAGTCTTAATTATTTTTAAAATACATCTCTCTGAAAGGCCCTCAACAGCATTGAACGAGAGGATGAGGAGTCAAATGATCACATACAAGAAATAGGATCTGAGTCAAGCCTTGAACCTTTAATCTCAGAGCTCTGCGAGACAAAATACATTGAAGAGCCCTCACAGCTGCAGGAGTTAGTTGCTGTTGTGGATCAGGTACCGTCACTTCCCTTGAATATCTGGCTAAAAAGTAATGTTTAGTTCAAATGTTTCAATTTCTTTGCAGTGTGACCTTAAAGCAACTTTGTTGTTTCTCGCATTAAATGGAAGGGAGATCTCCCACTGATTTAAAATGTTAAGATGATTTTGAAGGAGAGCTTTGATACTTCATGTAGCGTTTCTTTTGTTATCCTCAAAGTAACATTTTTTCCCTTTGATACTTCCCTCAGCTGACTCCAATTGAGAAGTATGCTTTGAATTATCTGGAGCTCTTCCACGGTTCAGTTGATGACAATGAGCCACGGTTGAGTGAGGTAAAACAAATCTTTCTTTTCCATGTTATTCTGTCACAGAACAACATTTATTATATTTTCAATATGAAGTGGAAGTGTCTCCAATCATGTGGAATATATTGTAGGCACTTCTGTGATCTTTTCTTGCTATACCTTATGAACAGCATAATGTCTTACAGAGAGCTCATTATTCTGGGATTCTCTGGTTTAAGCAGGTGTCAGTTCTTAATTTCTTTTTTATAAAATGGGAATTGCTTTCAGCCCAGCTCAGCAAATATTTGTTGTACTCCATTGATAGTGGGGGAAAAAATTTCATTAATTTCAGTGAGCCTGTGTTCTGATTGTCTTCATTGTTTAACTGATTGATTGCTTTATATTGATGGCTTAAAAGCCCTTAATAAAGACCAATAAATATCTTCTAAATGATTGTGAAAGTATCTGATAAGAAATTGCTATAAGATTTCTGTGTCTGAAAATGTCAAAGTTCAAGGCATTTATCCATAAAATTACAAATTGATGACTTCTAATCCAGTGTCTGTTACTGTATGAAGTTTCTAAGGAGTCTGACTTTAATCTAGATGGAACTGAAAACTGCAAAGAAAGCCTGGGAAGTCCAGCATATGAAGGAGTTAAAGGAAAGAGAGCAAAAAATGCTTTGGGAGGATGAAGAGGAGCTTCTAACCTACACTCGGGAGGATGCATACAACAAAGTAATTGCTGATTAGTCTTGTTTTTTCTAAATAGTTCTTTCTTAACAGTCTGAGAACACCTTTAACCTTCAGGTTTCAGTTGGATCATTTGAATTATGTTTTCTTTTTGCTGTGTAGGAATATGTCTATGAAGGTCCAGATGGACAAACTGAAATTATGCCAGTAAGTAAAAGTAACACCAGGCAGCCTAAACAGGCTTTTTATTTTGTGAAACATAAAGATCAGTGAAGAGTTAACATTGCAGTAATTACAGATTTTATTCTCTGCAGCTCTGGACTCCTCCTACTCCACCTCAGGATGACAATGATATCTACATAGATTCTGTTATGTGCCTGATGTATGATACCACCCCTATTCCAGAGTCAAAATTGCCTCCAGTGTACGTCAGGAAGGAGCGTAAACGACACAAAACAGATCCCTCTGGTGAGTGTGTGCTCAAAACTGTTCTGGGATTTGTTGCTGAAAGTTTAAAAAAACAGTGGGGTTTTCATGCCTTCTATATATTCAGAATGCATTGAAACACCCATGTTGCAGTGTTTAATAAATTCAAGCATCTGTTTTGGAGTTTGGTCTGGTAAAGATCAAATGTGCATGTTTGAAGGGATAAAAATTCTTGTCCCACCGTGGCCTTGAAGCATTGGTCACTGGAAGGCCCAGTTCTTATGGTTTGTCTTGTCTTTAGACATAAAGATGTTCTTCAAAGGACAGTTTTAGAAAGCTGACATTTTATTTTGTCAGTTAGGACAGGGCTAGTCTTACTTTATAACAGGCTCTGTTTAGTTCCTGGCTGTGCTTTCCAGAGGCAGTGGGGAGTACATGTATGAGCATTTTGCAGCTGTAGGCAGAGGAGTCAAAGAATGACAGTATCTACCAGTAATGCTTTATGTTTTGCCTTAGCAGCAGGTAGAAAGAAGAAGCAACGTCATGGGGAGACAGTTATCCCACCTCGTTCACTCTTTGATCGAGCAACTCCAGGAATGTTGAAAATGCGCCGGGAGGGCAAAGAGCAAAAGAAGAACATCTTGTTGAAACAACAGACACAGTTTGCAAAGCCTTTGCCAACTCTTGTCAAACCAGCTACTGAGGCTGGACAGGATAATCCAGAGTGGTTGATCAGCGAAGACTGGGCACTTCTGCAGGTCAGATGATACCTGCAGCTTCTGCTGCCTTCATGTTTTTATTCCTTCATTTTATCTTTTCGAGGTTATCTCTAATTCTTAATGGCAATTTGCTGTCATAACTTGGAACAGCTTGCCTGTCATTTTTGCTCCTCTAAGGAGATATTAAAGGCTAAACTACAAAATGTATGATTAAGCCCTATTGTTGTTTTAGAAACCACTTACTATTATTCAGATTAGTTGTGCTGGCTGGACAATGGGTAATGTAACTAAGGTTCTTCCGACCTTTGAGGGAAGAGCAGTACTTGAATAGCAGCTCTCTGTCCCTCTCATACCAATCTCCAACTGTTTCCCTGCACATCAGTCAGCATTAAGGCACCTTATGCCTGTTTATTCTCTGTGACTGAGCACAGAGCTGAAGCCCTGAGCTGTCCCACTGTAGTAACGGTGTGTGGGCACACGCAGGCGGGGCAGGTTTGGAAGATGGCAGTGATGTCTCCTGATGCATTTGTACCTTTCTCTGTTGCAGGCAGTGAAGCAGCTGCTGGAGCTTCCTTTAAACCTTGCTGTTGTGTCACCAGCACACACTCCCAACTGGGACCTGGTCAGTGATGTTGTTAACTCCTGCAGCAGAGTCTATCGCTCGCCCAAGCAGTGCCGCAACCGATACGAGAATGTCATAATCCCAAGGGAGGAAGGAAAGGTGAGTTCACCTGGAATGATGCGTCTTTTTTTTACCTTAAGTTGTAGAGTTTTTTTTCCTTAACTCCATAAACACTTGTTTTTTTGTTAAACGTTTCAACAGTGTAAATAAATAACTTTTAAAAGATCTTTTTAAATTATTCTCATCAGGATTTCCACTTATTTTATGTGATTTCTTTGAAAAGAAAAAGCACCTGAACAAAATCTTCCACAAAAGATCATCTAACTTTCCTTCTTATTTTACAGCTAATGTACGAAGCTAATCCTAAAAAGAAGACAAAAAGTATTTATAAGGTGTGCATTGGTATTCTTTCAAAATCAAATCTAGACACTGTGGTATTTAGCAGCAATGGAGGTGGGCAGATAATTCATATGAGATCCATGTTGAGTGTTACTTGAGTTCTGAAACATCTATTAAAATTCCAAATTTATTTTTCCTTTCTTTGTTGATACAGTGGATTGACACCAGTCTTCAGCTTTTGGATTTGATAGATAAATTTTAGATCATGCAAGAAGTTTGTGATTTCACTTAAACTGTAGTTGGCATTTTTCCACCATGTATCTTATCCTGATGGTATTTAAGATCTGTAACAATGAACTTCATGCTAGAGTCTAAGTGGATTACAAATACATAGTAAATTTGATGCCTGAAACACGTTTTAGTAAATGAGGATGATAGGACGCTAAAGAAACAAACACAAATTCCATGACTTGTGAACACCTTCTTCCAAACCACACAGCAATTTAGTGGCAGAGTTGGGTGGAGAATCCAGAACTTCTGGCTGTAGTTCCATTCTCTGACTGCTAAGGAGGTTTGTCCCTGACTGGCAGTTTCTGCTTAGGAGAAGCCAAATGTTAGACTGGCATGGTGTGTGGATGTTAACCTAGCTTTGTTGGGAGAGCAGTGCAGTGATGGTTTTGTTTTATTATCTTATGTGTGCGCTATGCATAACTATAAACTAATGGGCTCTTGGTTTGGGTTATGAATTAAACTTGCAAAATCTAAACTAAAGCAAAGATTCTTTCTCAAATTAGAGTTTGCCATTTTGTATGTCCCCCAGTGCTGATGCCAGTGTGACCGTGAGAACTGCTCCTTATTTTGCTCTTTCTTTATATATTTCCCATAGAGTTTTGTGTGACAGTAAGTTATCAGTGACACGAGGCAGGAACCAGTCTGTGATAGATATGTTGGAGAGTGTTTTTAAATAATCTACGAGCGCGCCTTGTGTTTAAACATAGACAAAATGCCCTGTTGGGTGAGTTTGCAATTGAAAGTTGGTTTGTTTTCTTTTTCTAGACTAAAAACAGTCGCCCACTTCGTACCAATCAGATCTATGCTCAAGATGAGGGTGCAACACACACACAACTTTATACTAATCATTTTGAGATGATGAAAATGATTGCAGGGAAAAGAAGTCCACCTATCAAACCTCTGTAAGTTTACCTGGGATCATTTGATTTCCTGCCACCACAGATCTCCTGGAAACTGAGTTCTGAATGGCTCTCAAAACCCAGAGTTATTCTGCACTCCCTTTCTCTGTTCTTGATCTCTCTCTGTGTCTTCTGTTGTTGGAAACACCTCCATATTTCATGTGTTTGGGTCTCTCTGCAGGAATTTGCTGGGTTTTTTAAAATCTATATCTGTCCATTTACCTGAATTGTAGACAAATTGCTATCTATGCTGTTTAGTAGTACATTCTTTCCTGTGTGTCTTCCTGTAGTTTTTCTATATTTATTTAGTATTTACTCTGAGTCTCTTAAATGTCTGTCTGTATGTACGCTCCAGTACTGGCTGGTATATCATGGAAACTTCACCAAAACTGCAGTGTTATATGCTAATATGTGAAATGAAATATTGTATTTAAAGTTTTTCTGTCTCCAGTAATATAGTTTTTCTCAATTTCAGACTTGGCATGAATCCTTTCCAGAAGAATCCAAAGCATGCATCGGTGCTTGCAGAAAGGTGAGCACTTCCTGTCTTGAAGGAGTTATAAATTGTATAAAAGTGCTCTTTTTTATGTTCTTTTTTTTTTTAGGTTTCAGTTATTTCTAAATATTGTGTGTTTTGTCTTATTATTGTTTCTAGTGGAATCAACTATGATAAGCCCCTCCCTCCGATTCAGGTCGCGTCCCTCCGAGCAGAACGCATTGCCAAAGAGAAAAAGGTATGGTCCCATCTCTGCTGCACAAATGACTGCATTAATTAAAAAATCAGGAAACAGATGAGGTATGAGCAAAGCTTCCTCCTGGGAGAAGTTTGGCAGTACAGTGGATATTACGAGCAGCTGCACATTGCTCATGTACAGGGGTTTAGATAACCAGGGCCCAGAGTGCGGCCTTTCCTTGCACCTCTTGTCACACTAATACCCCTTAAAACAATGAGAAACATATTTTTGCAAAATATATTAAAACGTGTAAAAATCTTATTTTATTCTTGACCATTCTGTAGCCTCCTTTCTTATATTATTCAGAAAGAAATACTTGCTTGTGGATGGTAAGTTGCTTGTTATGCTATGCTCTAAGCCATAAAACCATGAGTACATCTTGTAGTTTGAATTGAATCATGTTGTGTAACTTGGACTTGAAAAGTGAGGCCAGCTTTGCGGGCTGCCTGTGGTTTTGTGGATAAAGAGGTTTTTTCTTGTTGCTTGATTTTGCTTTAAAAAACCACATCTTGCTTGTTCCATGCTTGAAGACTGAAGGTGCCCCTTGCCTTGCAGGCGCTGGCGGAGCAGCAGAGGGCCCAGCAGCAGACGGGTCCCCAGCCCCAGCAGCCCCAGGCGGGCCAGCAGCCCCCCCAGCAGCCCCCCGTGCAGCAGGCCCAGGCCCAGCCACAGGCACAGGCACAAGCACAGGTAGTTCAGCAGCCACAGGCAGTGGTGCAGACTGCAGTCACTACTGTGGCCAACACAGCAGTATTGGTAAGAAAGGGAGAGCTCGGTGCCTCTGATGTAGTAACTTCAGTTCTTCTGTGTGTGCTGTATTTGTGTCGTGTTTTCTCTGGAAAGAGAATTTTAGGTCAGTATAGTGAGATCAAAGATACTTTTTTCTTGTTTGTTTTCCCTGGTTATGCTAGGTGTCTTCTGTTTCCCTGATTTATTAAGACTATTCATACCATTGCGGCGACAGATCTTGGTGTTCTGAGGTGAAAGAACACCATGCTAAGATGGTTTTTCCTTTTTCACTTTAGACTTTCATTTAATGAAGTCTGAGTGAATAGATGTACATGGTCAACGAGAAGTATTTGTACAGAGAATTTGCAGGATACAGAGAAAAAAAGAGAATGTAGCTGTAAGAGCAACTCAGTTAAAGAGCTTAAAATCCAAAGATTCATTAACCTTTGCAAGGCAAATGAAATGATGCATCCTACAGGAAACACCATTGTGCTTTTACTGCAAATTTATGCAAAGTTTTCATGTCTTCCCTAAATCTAGAGTCTGAATGGGTCTGATGACTGGTCTGTGGCTTTTGTATTTAGAGCCAATCCAGTTTGCATAGTAATGTGTGCAGCAGTGGTGGGTTTATTTTGCTTGTTGAAGAGCAAGAGTACCACAGCTTTTGCAGAAAGACACAGAGGATGTGTTTTGAACCACAAGCATTGCTGTGTATGAAGTGCTCAGTGATGTTCCTATGTGAGTGCTTGTCCAAGGTATTGCTCCCTTCCTCTGCTAACAGGGATGTTCAGTGACCAGGGTTTACCACACTAGGCTGGTCTACAGTTGCTCATCAGTGAGGCAGAACCCTGATTTATGTATGCATTAGTTGCTGTGATCTGTAGAGTCAATGAACAACTGCAGAAATCTTTGTGTGTTCCATTGTGTTTTTTTGTTATTTTGTCACTTCTGGAGCACAGCATTGTGTTAAGCAATGCTCACTTTTCTTTTATTGCTTTTCTGAACTGCTACCTTAATTGTCTTCTAATTAGGCAGGCACCATCAAAACAGCGGTGACGGGGACAAGCATCCAGACTGGTAAGGAGACTTTCTAACTGGAGATAGAAGATGATGGGACATTAGGATTGTCACTTTCAGAATCTCACATTTAATCCTGGCTTGCTTTCAGCTACAGTGAGTGGAAATGTGATTGTGAACACTGTTGCTGGGGTCCCTGCTGCTACCTTCCAGCCCATCAATAAACGTCTGGCCTCACCTGTTATACCTGGCACGCTGACTGTGAGTAGATCCTGTCACTAGTTGTGTCCCTGGACACATTGGGTTGCATGTCTTATCAGCATAGCTTTAGCTTTCCATGTTCTCAAAAATTCTGCTTCTTGCAAATGTCATGTGCAACTTGGGGCTCTTTATCAAACCTCTCTCTCTTACCAAAACATCAGAACACACTGGAATGGTTTATCAGAAAAAAATGCTTAATATGTTAAAAATAATTTATAGGCAAGTGCTGCTAAAAGCAATGTATTATGTCATTAACATTTTCAGCTTGTAACTGTTTTGTGCTTTATTAATTATGATCTTTATGATTATGTTAATGGTTTAAGACTATGGAAGATAAAGCAAAATATTGAAAGGTACTAAAATCAAATGTCTGTAATGGAGTGAAGGGTTTGGTGATCAGCCTGTTGGAAAAAGATTTAACCACATGCTGATTTTAAGATGCATCCAAACAGATGTGTTAGACAGATTTGGGGCTTTTCTTCTTTTGCAATTTTTGTGCTTGTTTTAAAAATTGCCTAGAGGGCCAATTCCATTTGCAGAAGGGACGTGTGAGGCGCGGGAGGGGAGCGGTAATGGCTGTGTTCCCTTTCAGACCTCGGGAGGCACCACCACTGCCCAGGTGGTTCACAGCCAGCCCCGCGCCGCCGCGGCGCCGGCAGCGTCCACCGAGCTGGTGACCATCGCCTCCACCCAGGGCGTGCGCGCCGTGACCTCGGTGACAGCCTCGGCCGTGGTCACCACCAACCTCACGCCTGTGCAGACACAGACAAGGTCTTTGGTCACCCAGGTCACGCCAGGTAATAATCCTGTGTTCAGGGATTTGTTCCAGTAGTGCAAAAAAGGGCCTCAGAATTCCTGTAGATCCACCATCACAGCCCCACAATGTTGGAAGTCTGGGATGCAATTAAACAGGGCTAGGATTTTAAACTTGCTTTATTGCTGCTGCTCATTTTTCTCCAATATTTCTGGATAAAGCATGGCAATAGAGAGCTTTGCCCCTAGGCATTGCAATTTAAAAATATTATTAACAATCTAGCAGTAAAATACTAGAATTTACTGTCTTGACTAAAAAGCATTGTGAAGAAAGGTCCTTGTATTTTATGATTTACTCTGCTTTTACATCATGCTCATGATAATGTGTTCTTACATGTAGTAAATCCACAAAGTGTGCTGGAGCAGTAAAATAAGCATTTTTCTTCTCAGGTGAAATTCATGAGTTAAACTGAATGTTGAAAAATATTTATAATAACTTTTTGTTTTTTGTTTATTCACAGCTACGCCAACAGTCCAGCTGTCAGGCAAAACCATCACCCCTGCTCACTTCCAGCTTCTGAGGCAACAGCAGCAGCAGGCTGCTCAGGTGCAGGTCCCACAGATCCAGGCTCAGGCACAAGCCCAGTCTCCAGCTCAAATAAAAACTGTAGGGAAATTGTCACAGGTGAGAAACTGCTCATGAAGTAACATAACACACTGCTCTCATTACTGTAAGCTTCCTTAACAGTGTGTGTTATGTCCTGTTTCCTTGGGCTAGAGTGAGATGTATTTCCCTCTTAAATTTCATCCTACTAAAATTTCATGCAGGCAGTGAGTCTGACAGCACTTTCAGTAGTAGATTAGGGCAGGATGGAAAGCATTTACTGTTGCTCACTGGAAGCCATTGTGTAAAAGAGTTACATTTTAGATACTTGATCTTAGCACTAGTCTGGTTTTCTCCTTTTAAGCTTTGGATGCATCTCCATTTTTCTCCTGTTATAAATGTAAACCATTGGAAATGATGGAAGTGTTTGATTTTTGCAGGAGCAGCTGATCAAGTTGCAGAAGCAGAAGCTGCAGCTCCCCCAGCAGCAGGCAGCACAGCAGACACAGCAAGGGGCACAGCAGCAAACAGCACAAGTGCAAGTGCAGCAGCAGCAGCAAACTCAGCAGCTCACTGCTGTGACAGCCCCTCGTCCTGGCGCAGTCCTCACGGGCACTACAGTCACCAACCTGCAAGTGGCACGCCTGGTGAGTTGGCTTTGACTTGGCAAGAACAGGCTCAGACACCTCACTCTTGGCTGGTTTAAATGAACTCACAAGGGGCAGTTCAGAAGGAACTGCTGTAACATAAATAGCTTTACATTGTACTTACCCATTGATACCATCTCTGAATTTTGTCACTGTACAGGAGCCACTTAGAAACATTTACAGCTATCACTTCACAATCACCTGTTATATGCAGCAAATCTTTCTGTACTGGTACAATAATCTTCATTCCTTACTGCTTAGACTCGTGTTCCTGCTTCCCAGCTCCAAGCACAAGGACAGATCCAGGGCCAGACTCCACAAGCAGCACAGGTTGCTCTGGCAAAGCCTCCAGTGGTGTCTGTTCCAGCTGCTGTTGTGTCATCTGCAGGAGTCACCACACTCCCTGTGACTGTGGCAGGCATTAGTGTTGCCATTGGACAGCCACAGAAAGCAGCAGGTATGTGAATGCAAGTTGGAAATAGAAAGAATTGTATTTCATAGCAGTCTCCTATAGTATAGACAATTTTTTTCGTGGAGGAAGATTGTTGTTGGAACAAAAAATTAGTTTACTCATGCCCTTAGATAAGAAATTTTCTCCACTGTGAAAATGTCTTATTCTCATTAAAATCAGTGGGTTGTTAGTGCTCAAAGCTGTGCAAATGTATGTCTGTAAAAGTAGAACCTGTGTGTGTAAGCTGTGATTACTGGGACTAAGCAATAAACTGAAGACTCTTACAGTTCTAATTATTTCTGTAATTTTCAGGAGGCCAGACAGTAGTTGCACAGCCACTGCATGTCCAGCAGCTGCTAAAACTCAAGCACCACCAAGCAGCACAGCAGCAGAAAGCCATCCAGCCCCAGGTTGCACAGGGACAAGCTACTGTGCAGCAAAAGGTACTATTGTCTGCTGTCCCATTAACTTGTGCAGTGGTGCTGTGGTTGTAAAGCTTTTGGTTCTGGGTGACAAGGACACCCCTAGAGAGTCAGTCAGGATTTCTAGGGGTGATCTTTGGTATATCTAGAGAGAACAGGTTCTCAGATGCTTATTTTTTGTGTAAAGTGGTTGATTGTTTGGTAGTTTTTGTTGTGTGATTGTTGTGTGTAAGAGATAAACTTTTCATTAAGTACTGTAATTCTGAATACGTGTGTAAATACATGAAGGCTTTCATCTAGTACTCATTTTTTTGTGGCTAATCCTGGGAGAATTATTTTTTAACAATTAAATGTAATTAATCTTTTTTCTCACATACCTGTTCTTTAAAGTACACTTACCTTTTGTAGTCATTGGTGCCTTTTTTTCTCTTGTGCAGATAAATGCTCAACAGGTTACGGTCCAGACCCAACAGCAGACTTCACAGCAGCAAAAAGTAACTTATGCTACACAGCCTGCCATTAAAACACAGTTCTTAACAACTCCAATTTCCCAAACCCAGAAACCAGGTGGAACCCAGCAAGTGCAGGCCCAGATTCAGGTACAGGTAACACAGGTTTACACCCTTAAACTGTACTGGGACTGGAGAATTGTAAAGACAACAGGTGAGGTAGAATTCAGCACCCACTCATTTTAATTCTAGTCACACATTCATTTGAATTGACTTTTCAATAAAATTCACTGGTGCTGCATATGTGACCTTTCAGCTAGTCATAGCTGTGAGCTGCAAGTTCACCTTTCCTCTTTGAAATAAAATAATTGAGTCACTCCTTTTTATTAGGCAAGGGATTCCATACTGTGTTTACTGAGGAAAATTCAGCCAGAATTGTTCCTGTTTCTGGTGCTGCCTCACAGCCTAATCTCTGGTAGCCTAGAGTAGGTGACAACTCACTTTCTCTTCTGCATAACTGAATCAGCCTAACCAAGGAAAAAGAAGGGGGTTAGGACTTGGAAGCCTTACTCTCTCAAAAGTATATCCCAGATAATGTAACCTGTTAGAACTCATGTGCTTCCTTCAATTTTCTAGGTAGTTGGGAGGAAATGACTTAGTTGTAGTTAAAATTGAAAATATTTTTCTTCCTCCCCTAGCTAAGTTCTTCTTTTCACTGATCTAAAATGTTTCATAAACATTCAGCCTCACAGAAAATGCCAAGCTACAACTTACTATGAACAGGCCTTGGTGTTTTGCTGCTCTCAGCAGCTTTTTATTTTGATCCAATCTTTCTTTATTTCACATCACTACAGGTTGCAAAACTCCCACAGGTGGTCCAGCAACAGGCTACTGTTGCCAACATTCAGCAGATGGTTTCAGTTTCCCAACAGGTAGGTTTTGCTCTTGTCAAATATAGCACTAGAAACTTAATCTTTAGAAAAGCTCATTTTTTTGCAAAGTGTGTATTTTTCACGTTATGTGTGGCATAGGAAGTATTTTTGAAGGATATAGCAAGTGCCTTTCTATAAAATTAAGTCTTGAATACTGAATCAGCTGAGGTATATTCTCTGGTTTAAAACTTTCATAGATGTAGCAATGTTTGTTCATCACTGTAGATAAGCTGATAAACAGATTTTTAACTGTTTTCTAGAGCTGAAAGGATGTTTAAAAATTGGTTTCCGGTGATGTATAGTCAATACAGCAAATAATTGAACTAATGAGCACCATCTGAGCTTTTCACACAAAAAATGAGGACAAATTGAAGGTTACAAGTTGTTTTGTTTCAGTTCATAGAGCTATGCCAAGTGCTCTGTAAAAGGCAGGATGGTGTGGTAGCTGTTCCAAATGTGTGCTGGTAACAGACGGGGCTCGGTCAGGAGGAGCTCAGGTGGTTTGGTTCCCCTTCCCAGTGACCAGGCAGTTTAATTAACACTCTTTAGATCAATCTCATCTAGATCATTAGCAACAGGCCTAACTTAGGCAGTTGGTTGGCAGGAATTATTTAACTTTGGAGGGCGGATGAAGTTCTTGACTTTGGTACACAAAAATCTGGGCCCATCAGCCTTTAATCTGCTACAGTTCACAGTGCAGTTTTTTAGTGCAGAATAAAATCTGTGACTGTTTATCTCAAAATGGTGATAAAGTGGTGCAAGCTGTCTGATAACCACCTCAGATGTGAATGCTTCAAGGGCAAAGTAGACAGCAGGAAGCAGAAATCTCATTAGTCAACACAAGTTGAGTTGTCCTCTGTAGTCAGGAAGAGCTCTTAGATCATTTTCAAAAGTCATCAACGGTGGCATAACTCTGTGAGTTTGAGTCTGTGGCAAAAAGACAAACAGTTTCCCTCCCATGTACACTAGTGACTTCAGTGGCAGTAGATTTAGGCCATGATAAGTATTTTTTGAACTATGATCTTTATATGTATATGGCATTATTTTTATCTCCATTTTTAGTGCTTCCCACTGGAATCCTTTTGGATCATTCAAGAGTTAATTTGTCCTCTGGAGAAGTCCTTGTAGCTTTGTTTTGCTTCTGCATCTGACAAAGGCAGCTGAAGCTGCTCAGTTTTCATTACCTTGTCTCCTGAACAAGGAGATGTTGATTTTTTTTTTTCTCCCTTGTTTTGGGTAGAGCTATGAAAATCAGATGTCTGGATGGAGTTGAAACTATTCTGCCATAAATTGGCAATAGAGACTGGCAGCTGTAGTCTGAAAGGGCAATGGCAGAGACTGGTGGGAAGCCTCAGTGGCTGTATTTATTGTCACAATATGGGTGCAGAGTCAGCATTTTAACCTCTTTGGTCCTCTGGCTGTCCCTCTGTTCTTTTCCCTGCTCCTTCACTTCTGCAAGAGAGGAATTTTCCTGTATATCTGGTGGGGTTTCTGTACCTTTCATCTGCCTTCTGAATGTATCTGAGGGCATGTCCTTGGATTTGCACTGCTGAGACCTGAGTTACAGGCATCTTGGCTCTGAGTTCTGGTTTATAAGGCTCTAGAAGATGTGACAGAATGGTGTTTGTCAGTGACACCACAGAGCCTATGTTCCCAGAATCATTGTCTGAGATGTTTGTCAGTTAAGAGAGCAGATACCTAACGAAGCAGGATTCCTTCTGTAGAGCAGAAATGTAATGACTGCTCAGTTTAATGCCAAACCATTGTGTAATTGCCTTTTCATCCTGATGTGTAGGTACAAGCTCAGCCCCAAACTGTGACCCTTTCTCAGACGACAGCAGGTCAACAGCAGGTTCAGGTGATCCCTGCAACCACTGCTACTGCTCAGGTCGTGCAGCAGAAGCTGATCCAGCAGCAGGTCGTGACCACAGCATCTCCCCAGGTTCAGGCTCCAGGTGTACAGAACCCAGCCCAGACACCAGCAGCACCTGAAGCCCAGAGTCAGCAAGCAAAAGTACAAATGAGGACACCGACTGTCAGGCTAAAGGCACCTACTAAACCAAGTTGAACTATTGCAATAAGAGATAAACACAGTATTTTGTGTTTGCTGAGACAAGTGAGAAGCTACTCCAGACATCCAAATGAAGACAAAACACCTATTTTTTTTTTTTTTTGGTTTTTTTGTAGCAGAAGGTTTCTTGCTGGTGAACATTTCAACATGAAAACTCACATGTAACTTCAGTGTATTAGCAACTGTTTAGCACTCAAACTCTGTACAAGATACATTCTGCCTGTGTTCTCTGTGCTCATTCACACCAGATAAAGCAATCATTACTTAGGTTGAAATTCTGCCCAGCTTCTCAAAAGTGAAATGGTGATCTGCCATAAATGTCAGTAAAATCTATCTGTGTTAGAATACCACACCTGCCTGTGGGTGTGTGCAGCTCCTTGCTGCAGTTCAGTGTGTGCTGAGTACCCACACTGAAGCCACACAAAGAACCAGGTGTAGTTGGTACAGCGCAGTATTTCAGTATTTTCCATCTGTACAAAAGTTCTGTGTTGTTCTTCCCTGTGGTAAACGCCCCTGGAAGATCTAACACAGACTTGAAGTGCTCCCTGCAAAATTCAGCCAATAAATGTGAAAACCTGTAAGTATATGTAATTAAAAAGGAAAAAAAAAGGTTTCATTCTCCATTTTTGTAAGTCTTTTAAAATGTTTGTTAGTAGTTTTTGTGTACAGTTTACCGAATAACCCAACCTGTGTGCTCATTCTCATATTTCACTTTAAAATAATGGGTATTTTAGGCATGAGCTGAGTAAATACTGTGTTGATAGTAAATGTGTATTAAAGTGTAGCCCTTTTTTTTTTTTTTGTAAAAGAATTGTTCAGTAGATACAGCTAAACAGATGATCCATAGCTGTTTCTCATGGGATTTCTGTCACAAAAAATCTCCAGCTGATAAAATTGAATCTCTCAGTTTCATTCTGCTCTTGCAACATGTTTAAATGTTCAGTACTTTTTACACGGCTTTCAGCTTGGGGGGTGGGGGGCTGGGGGAAGGGGAGAATAGTGAAATTAAATCTAAGACTTAATTCTTCAACTGTGTAAAGAGTAAGATCTAACTTTTGTACTATTCTTTTACTAAAGCTAACGATGAATGTATCTTCAGGTGGGTATTTTGGATGTGAATAGAGTATGGCCTCTTCCTCCAAATCAGTTTGCCTTATTATGGAGAAAAAAAAAAAGCAAAAAGCTGCATAGAACTGTGGGGGGTTTCTTTACTTTTCTTGCATACAATGAATAACAGACTTTGCAAACAGCACTGAGTGAGGAATCAAAAAGCCCATGGTGGCTTGAAGGGATTTATTTTACTTTGGCCATAAAACTGCACAACGTGTAAAATCCAGACAAAATTACAACATTCCTTTTCTGAGATGGTTTTAAAATTATTTTTTCATTCTGTGATCTTTTTACTCTTTTAGGAAAGAAGCCTATTTAAGGGCAAGGAAAGCATATATTTTGTTTTTACCTCTGTATGTCCACACTTGTTGGTACCTGGCAATCCATATGGCTTAAACAAGAAAGAATGCTCAGCCGGCTCCTCTGTGTTAGTTGGGATAGGTACATCCAATTCTGTTCAGATCACAAATGTAAGCATTGGCTCAGGCAGCGTTCCTGACTTTTTTATTTTACACCTCTTTTGTCCTGCATACTTTTTTTCTCGGACCCTCAGGTGTACAAATTCAAGGGCATTTTTGGGTTTTTTTTAAGCTGTTTTTGCATGCAGTAGTATTCCCCTGACCCTGCTAACCCCTGGCGTGTGCCATCCCTTAAACTTGACAGCCGGCCATGGAGCTGGTGTTGCTGACAGCAGAGTAGTTTAAAATGCAAAGCAGATGCAGTGGTAATGGATAGTGACACTGTGTACAGTATAGCCTCGCTCATCCAAAAATATTGCTTAGCTAGCCCCAGTTTGACTTTTAAGTGTTTAGCTTTTATGATGTGCATGAAAGTCGGGGTGGGGGGGAACAGTTCCAGCAGTGGGAGAGCTGTTGGCTGCGTCGTTGTGCTGGTCTGATTTGGTGTCTAAAGAGACGATTGTTTCTTGTTTAGGTCAGTTGATGAAGATAAAAAGTCACAATCTTTATATTTTTTTTCCCTTCTCATGAATTTTTTTTTCCCTTCCTTTCGATGTGTCTTTCTCCCAGGAGTGTGTTAGGAAGTCAACCTGTACATAAGTGATGAACATTTGTACTCGACCCAGTAGGACGATAAGGAATAGTGCTGTATCCTACCTGAAGGTGTAATAAAGTGTACATTTTTATACCGCCACCTCGCCATGTACATTTTTATACCGCCTTCTGTAGCGGGGCGGGTTACGGGGGGGCGGTCCCGGTCCCGATCGCGGTCCCGGTCGCGGTCCCGCCCCGCCGCCGGCCCCGCCTGCGGGCGGGGCGGCCGCGGCTCCTCCTCTGCCCTCCCACACGAGCATGGCGCGGGAGGCTGAGCTCGCCGCCTGCCTGGAGGCCGTGCTGGGCAGCCGCTCCAGCGCCAACCGCGTCTTCGAGCTCCTGGAGCCGCTGGCGGTGCGGGCCGGGCCGGGCGCGGGGAGCGGGGAGCGGGCTGAGGGAGGGCAGCGCCGGGCCGGGCCGGGCGCGGGGAGCGGGCTGAGGGAGGGCAGCGCCGAGCCGGGCCGGGCCGCCGCTCTGACACGCTGTTCCGCAGGGCGAGGAGGAGCCGGAGGACATCGTGAGCGCCGCCAGGGCCTGCAGCCGGCTCTTCGGGGCGCTGCTGGAGCGGCGGGAGCTGTTCGTGGGGCCGCTGCCCGAGCAGGACGCGTCTCTGGGCGGTGAGCGCGGAGCGGGGCCCGCGGCACTGCGCGGGACGGGCGCGGCCCTGCCCGAGCCCAGCCTGTGCGTGTGTCTGTGTGTCTGTCCCTCACAGAGAGCTACAGCGCCCAGGACAAGTACAGGATATGGATGAGGCACCGCTACCGGGACTGCGTGGGCTGCCTGGGCGAGCTCATGGCCCACGAGGCCTTCCAGGTCAAGGTGGGTCCTGAGCCCGCTGCTGTTCTCGGGGTTCCCGTGAGCTATTGCTGGATCGCTGTATTTCAGTGTGTGTGTTCTAAGACAGCACTGATGCTCTGACTCACCTCTGCTCACCAGCAACGAGCATGCAGCTTTCTCAGGAAAGAATATTTCATTCCTCCTCTTGAAAGCTACCTCCTTTGGGTTTGACGCCTGGTGTTATTGTTTAGGTGTTGGTTTTGGGTTGTTTTTTTTGGTCTTTTTTGGGGCTTTTATGGTTTGTTTTTTTTTTGTTTGTTTTGTGTTTTTTCGTTTTTTTTTTTTGTGATGTTGCGTTCTTCCTTTATTCAAGGAGTTGGCACTCTGCACACTCATGAAGTTTGTCGAATTAGAGGCACAGTATCCATTGATCAAAATAGAGTGGAAAGGAACTTTAACTTTTCCATGTGACCTTCTTAAGGTAAGCTGCGGAACTGAAAAGTCTCTCCTGTCAGTGACCTGATGGCACATGAACTCATGTGCCCTCGGCCATCTCACTCTGTGCTCCAGTGCTGTGAGAGACTGACTTGTTGCTTTCCTTGCCAAACCGTTTGTTAGGTAGTTGTTGATGGTTTGCTTCCCACCACCGAGGACGCCTCACTCCTGATCTCGCGCTTTCAGGAGTACCTGGAGTACGACGACGTGCGGTACTTTGTCATGAAGGCTGTCACTGCCAGCATCGGGCAGGTCATGCAAAAGACAAAGGAGGTAACACATTTTTACTGCTCAGGTGGCTCTGGATGAGCTGCTCTGGCTTGTGTATCTTGTGTGTGAAGCAGGGAGTAATTATAGTATATGGAAATATTTGGAAACCAGAGAAATGAGTGTGCCCGTTGAAGGCATTGGTTTTTTTTCTTATGTGTGTCAGTATGCCAAGACTGGCTTTACTCTGAAATTGAAAGTATTTCAAGACACATACTGTTCTTTCTGGTCTAAGCTCTAGCTTCTGTTTTACTCAGCTCTTCACAGCTTGAGTGACACAGAGAGAACTTTTAATTCTGTTTACTGTGATGCGGAGGAAGAACCTGCTTCCTTCATTGGATCCACCAGTTTTGTTAAGCCAGAATAAGTACAGAGATAGGTTTCATGTTAGATAAACAAACAACAGTACTCCAGGTTGAGGCTGCAGCAGAGAATATACCAGTGTGTAGTTTAGTCATCAACATTTTCCCTTTCTCTTTCCTAAATATATTCAATACTTGGAAACAGGGCAGTATTGAAGCCCAGCATCTTGCTATCTGATTGGAACTTGCTTTATGTTTGTTTATATGCTTTTTTCCGCAGAGGCCACTGCCTTTTTACCAGCAGAATGTATTTTCCCTCATCTCACCCATTAACATGCCAAACAAAGAGTCTGAGATGGTCAAATTTATGGTCAAGCAAGGTTAGTAAACTCTGCATGATAAACTGTGTGTGAAAATAAAAATCAGGTTAAGATTTCTAGTGTGTAAAGACTTGATTATTTGCTGTCAAAGAATGTCTGCTTCTTTGATCACTGTGATTTTAAACAATCTTAAAAATCCAATTCCTAAGTCTACAGGGACTTTATAACCTTGTATAAAATTAAGTACTTCAGCCCAAATTTTTAGAGCATCAAAAAGCTAACTTAAAAAGGGTCATCTTAATTTTTTGAATATCGTTTCAAGTTCAACATCTGGTTTCCCTTTCTTCTTAGATAACCGTGAGGAGTTGAAACTTTCAAGGCTGCAGGTAACTGTTCATTTGGTGCATTAGAACTGAAATTTTGTCTGCTTAAAATAGAGCATTATCTGTACCAGTGTGTTTAACTCACTGCTTGCAATTCTGTTTTAAGGCACACAAACAGGTGTTTGAAAAAATGTGGCTGACTTTTTTGAAGCACAAGGTGAGTGTTACTTCTGCCACTGATCTGCATGGCTCTTTAATTTAAGGACTGCTGATCCTTAGCAATTGTGTCCAGCCATGCAGGAAGGTGCTGGTAGGACTCCAGTATGTTTTGAGTGTGGGGTGGGAACAGCCCAGTGACCATTTCTGTTAGATCACTCTACCAAGAAACATGACTTCATATATGGCCTGCTTTTTCTTCTTACTCTCATCCCTTTTTCCCTACCTTAAACATCTCTGCCCATAAGGGTGATCTGCAGCGTAACAATCTCTGCTCACAAACTGAAGCTTCCCCAGCCTTTTTCCTGGTGATTTTCCCCATCTGAGTGATGACACTGTTAGTTGTGAGCACCTGCTTCTTGAATGAACTTCGTTGGTGTCACTTGTAAACTCTCCCATTTGGGAACTGCTGCTGCAAGCTGTTCTGTATTTTTCTGGCACGTTCCCTTCTGCTTGTGCATTGCCTTTTTGAGCCACAGGTTGCTGCTGCTATCTGAATTCTCCCTGCAGTGCTTCTTTCTCTGTTGTTTTGTCCTTCACAGCTGCCCACTGGCCTTTACAAAAAGGTTCTTGTCATTCTGCACGACTCTGTCCTGCCTTACATGAACGAGCCCACTCTCATGATGGACTTCTTGACAGTGGCCTATGGCATAGGTGAGTGAGAACAGCCTTTTATCCTTTGTGGCACCTCCAGCATGGGACAGATGGACTTGGAAGCTCTGCTGGGTGTAGCACCACGACCTGGCTGGTGGAATAGGTGTACTCCTGGCTGGGATGGAGCTAAGGAACTAGGGTCAACTCCATTGTCCCTGAAAGTGAGATGGTTTTACCTATGTTTGTCAATGTCATTGCTCCTTGTGTGTAAGGAAAAAATCATTTGGGGAAGAGTAGAATACTGGAGTGATTTGTTTTAAATACAGAGTTCAGCCAGTGCTGCTGATCCAAACACAGGATCCACAGATTCCTGCAGAAATGTCCTTTCTGAGCAGACCTTTGCCTCCCCAGTATGACTTTGTTGAGGAATTAGAGCAGGACATTTTAGTGTCTCAGTCGTTGAACATTTGTTCTATTAAACTACAGCTTAATCTTTGTAAGAAACTTGGGAGTCTCTGGAAGGCTGTAGATGGAATTGTTTCACTTTTCAGCCATCACACTGGCTCTGATTTCAGCTATTGAGTTTTGTTTTCCTTCTGGGAAGATTATATTATAGAAAAAAACCCTGAAGATTATTTTTTTCAAGTTATTTTTATTGTGTTGATATCCACCTGTTTTCTTACAGGTGGAGCAATCAGTCTTCTAGCCCTAAATGGGTTGTTTATTTTGATTCATCAGCATAATCTGTAAGTAAAAAGAGTATATTGTTTAAAGGAACATGGGTTTTTGCATTTATATCTTTACTGTAAAAGGAATTGAAATGGATTCACCACACCTTCAGGCTTTGAAACTCCCCCATGAGAAAGCCAAACTGCAGAAGAGGCTCAGGCTGTTTGAATGCTAAGCTTTTATGTCTCTCTGATTTCTTTTACAACTGAACCTAAATAGTCTCTTCTCTAGACTGCGATAGCTCAGCATGTAAAAATCAATTTCCATTGATCTGATTACAGAGTGAAGCCATGGTCTTTGGTGTCCCTTTCACTGCATCCTGTACCATTTGCAGGCACTGGACATGGCTTCACACCCTGAAGATGGCTGGGCACTGCAAGAGCCATAAATTCACCTTGCAGCTTGTTTTCAGGTGGTGACTGTAGAGGGAAGCCTAAGAGAGCTAAACAGAGCACAGCAGTGGGCTGGGGTGCTCTTAATGAAAGCACAAAAACATTTAGTCACAGACCCTCTGTACATCACTAATGGATGTTGTATTTTTCCTTTTTTTCAACAGGGAGTATCCTGACTTTTACAAGAAGCTGTACAGTCTGTTAGACCCTTCCATCTATCACGTGAAGTACCGAGCTCGCTTTTTCCACCTGACTGATCTGTTTTTGTCTTCATCGTAAGTAGCATCTTTATTATGTATGCTCACATATTTTTCTCCTGCTTTTCTATTCTTCAGCAGTCTCCCACATGTCTGGATTTAATGTATTCAGTGTGCCTTCTGGATTAGATACATTCTTATGGAGAAAACTGAATCCAAGACTATTATTGTAGTCTTGTGTAATTTTTCATGTGCTATTTTTGAAGATTTGCCTCACAGCCATAGATTTTCAGAAAGGAAGAATTGCAGTTAGTTATCAGAGTTTGAGCTGCAAGTGCTTATGGATGTGTTTTTGATCTCTGTTCCACTTTGGGTGAAAGTGATGAATTTTCTGTCTTGCCTTTGTAAAAATGGAAAAGTAAAATTTGCAGGCTTTTTATAGATTACAAAGCTGTTGATAAATGGATGGCTTTTTGCAGACATAAAGC